TTATTTAAAATTGTAGTTGAGTAAATGTAGGCCTACTTAGTTTCATGCCACCACTGGTAACAATATATTTTTCAAAAAAGTACACTGTTGACTCGTAGAGGTAAGTCCCATGACTTTTGGACTTGAGTCCCCTTTATTTATTTCCTAAATCAGAAAATGTTCCCAGATCCACTTTGTTTGAACCAATCCAACAGATTTCATTAAGTTGTAGGAGACAATACTACTAATGTTACTGAGCTGCCATTGGAAAAAATTAACCAAAAGATTATTTTGTACAAAAACGATGTGGTGGTTAACAAAAACATAACCGCACACTTTGTTAAACTTACTCGTCAACATTTTTGAAGAGCACTTTATTGTGACTGGTTCAGGAGTCGAAACGCAAAGGGGACTTGAGTGCTAAGACTGAAGACAGAAACAAAGACCTGGGCCCTTTCTCATTTGTCTAATTCCCCTCCTCGACTCCTATCCTCGTGTCTTAGTCCCGCCCACAGGAGATGCGAGCGGAGGAGTCGAGGAGGGGAACCGAGGAGAGAGGAGGGGAAGCAGCAGGCGTTTAGAGAAATGAGAACTCCTCTCCTCTGAGCGGTCATCTCTGTTGCCGGAAATAAATCCGCCGAGGATCCGCGGACTGGCGTGGAGGACCCATCAGTGGGTGTTTCTCAATCGCGAGTAAAGCTGCTGCAGAGCCACTATTTCAAGCATACTACGTCATCGAGTGCCGCCGAAGTACTGTTCCAATCTCCAGCATACTTGGAAATCTACCGAGCCCGGCGCACTCCGTTTGGAGAAATGTCGAGGCTGCACAGGAGTAGACTCCGCGGTCTTAAAATCCCCACAATGCTTTGCGCACGGACCAATTTCCCCAAATCTGTGGCGGAAGATGTAAGGCGGGGCCTATCATATGATGCACACCTGCACACTTGCTAGCCTGTTCCACTCTTTGTTTTCCGAATGGCAGGAAGTATTCTTGCCTCGCTTCTGAAGCAAGATGCTCGGCAGACATGTGCTACCAAGCAAGCGTACTCGCGATTGAGAAACACCCAGTGTATCCTCGGTTATAGCTCCTCGATGCTCGGTCCTCGAAGTGCATTTAGAGAAATGAGATGTCCTTCAACATGGCGCGCTGAAATCCATTTCCGGGTCACTACCGGAGGACCGAGGGTTCGAAATTAGTGAAATGAGAAAGGGCCCTGGTCCCTCCTCTGGGAGCGAGCACACAGAAGATCATCACCAGTAAACACACACACCCTTAGTCTCGTCATCCATATCCACTCAGTTTGTGATATAGGAGTCCCTCAGCACTAAATCATCTTCATGAAATCAGACATGTACTCCAGTGTTTTCCACATTAACTCATCTGCTCTCTAACAGAGGTTTAGGGAGGAACGTCCCAGGAGGTTGTGGGTAATCAGCTCATATAAATCAGCCATTTTATTATTATGTCATTAACTAGAATACTGCCAATCGGTTTGTTCTGTTCAATTATCCAAACTAACCCGATGTATACATACACTCCACAATTCCACAATAACAATTTGACAATGCAGAAAGGTTTTTATTGTTATTGAAACAACACAATACATCAGCAGTAAAGGGTTTATAAAACACTCTCCACCGACCTGCAGTGGAACACATGCTCCGGATTTTGGATTCTAGTCGTGTGTGCAAAAAAGGTAGTCGAGTGTTTTAGAAAAACACTTTTTAAAAGCAGAAATATTGTCTCTGGAGTGGGTGGAGCCAAAGAGTAATTGCAGTTTGCCAAACATACAAACTTGTGAACAGGGCTTTGGGATTTGTTGAGGACTGGAATATCAAAGTTGGGATTCTGGACAATCAGTTTGTCAAAATACAAGTCAGCTAAGAGGAAAAACCTGAAGTCCGAAATGAGTAACAGTGGTCAAAGTCAGAGAGGTGATGTCTGCAAGGACGTATTGTGGAGTAAAGAATGGCTGCGGCTAATAAGGCACTTAACAACTTTTTCACGGGATTCAAAAGAAACATGTATTGTAATGTAAAATGACTATGCATCTACTCTGAGAGCCCGGCTCCACGGGGACGAAAACGGGTTGAATCCGCATATTTCTCATGCGTATAGCCCTCTAAGCTCGACGACGCCGTAAGGGAAACGTAGAAACAGACCCCGCAAACGACAACGGGTCCAAAGGTGGATAGATCTGGGAACGGAGCGCTCTGGGGGGTCCAACGGGGCCGTGGAGTCGCCTATACGGTCATTCGTTTTCATAGCCCCGCCTCTCCCCCGCAGGGTTGCTATCGTGCTCCAGTCGCTACTGACCATGCTACAGTTCTTTGTGCAACATCTACAGGAGCTCCTCCTTGAATTCAGATTATTTATCTTTATCTCGATATGGACATAAACGCGAGTGAAGTCTAATCTGACAGGACGGAGACACGCAGCTCCTGCCGCTGTGATGCAGCGGGAGCAAAACACACACTTCAAGTCAGATCATCACCCTTAGCTATTTTAATTACCTCTCAAACTACCTAAACTAGTTATAAATATGTTCATTTTTACTGTCGGGTCACTCATTACAGGATCAGCTGCTGCATGAGACAGACACTGACGCTGTCAGAAGAGAGGAAAAAGAGACAGCCTCCGTGTATTTGATGATTATATATCATTATATCGTCGTTATTCATTTGTTTTAAAGCTCAATAAATAACAATGAAGACCTTTGACCGGCACTTTTATAATTTTGTCCGGAAGATTTAAACTTTAACACACGCTGACCGGCGAAAAACTCTGCCCGGTTCTGTCGGCCCCCACCGCGGAGAATACACAGAAGTGCAGCCATGACAGCCATTCTTCTTCGCTGCTTTTGTGGAGGAAGTTACAGCGCCACGTACAGGTTCGGCATATGTACTGCAGCTTTTCCAGCGTTTGGATGTAAACTATGGGCTCAGAACAGTCTCATAATACACACATGCACACAGAAGGATTCACACTTGTATTTCATGATCCGCAAAAGGATTCACACTTGTATTTCCGGATCCACACTTGTGTTTGTCAATGCACACACAAATGTTTTCCGTTTCATATACATGTTAATAAAATCCAAATACAGAAAAAAGTTTTACATATGTATTTTTGATCCTCACATATTTGTTTTCCGTTTAAAACCGCTGCACCTACAAACACAAACCGCTTTCTGTGCATGGATCGCTGTGCATTCGTGTGTGGGTTTTTTGAGACTCCCCTGACGGTCACCCGATTCGTACTTGTAATTTTTTCTGTCTATAGCCAATCAGATGTCTCCTCAATTCTAAGCCAATCACATGAGCGCGCCCCCACGAGGGTAGATTTCTTGCGTTCATGACGTAGCGCTTCATGTACGCATTTTGCGCTGTCCGGAGCTGACAGGTCCATGGAGCCTGCCTGCAGGCGCTAATCTCAGGACACCTCCACTCTCAGTACATTGCCACTTTCCGAGCAGGAAATGCACACAAATACAAGCCTTTATATTATTAAGGTACAGTGCCACTTTCCGAACCATTAATGAATGCTTGTGTACACAAAAACGGCAGGCAAAACTGTTTTAAATGTGTGTTTCCTGTATGGCGAATACAGCTGCTTTATTTATGTCTGTATGAAGTTGTTGTGAGTGTGGAGGGAGCAGCTACAGGTTAGCTTAGCCTAATCGATCAGTGCACTACGAAGCCAGTGCTAGACAGTGAACTGTCAACGGGGAGAGCCCCGCCGGTCATTATCGGCCGATATTCACTCTTAATAGTTTGATCGGTGCTCTCTATAAAGGCCGATCAGGAGAGCTGGATCTGATCGATATGGACATAAACGCGAGTGAATTTTAGCGAGCTGCATGAGAAACTGACGGGCTGTCAGGAGAGAGGGAGGGAGAGAGGAAAAGAGATGATCCTTACTCCCGTGTTATTATCCGGTCATAGTCCGGTAATTACCTAACGGAAACGCTGCTACACAATTCTTATAATTATTATTATTGAAACATGACCGGTAAGTTTCAAATTTGTCCGGTAAAATTAAATTCTGTCCGCGGAAACCCTGCTCCGGACTACGCAAAATGCGTATATGAAGTGACATGAATGCAAGAAATCTACCCTCGTGGGGGCGCGCTCATGTGATTGGCTTAGAATTGAGGAGACATCTGATTGGCTATAGATAGAAACAATTACAAGTACGAATCGGGTCACCGTCAGGGGAGTCTCAAAAAACCCACACACGAATGCACAGCGATCCATGCACAGAAAGCGGTTTGTGTTTGTAGGTGCAGGGGATTTAAACGGAAAACAAATATGTGAGGATCAAAAATACATATGTAAAACTTTTTTCTGTATTTGGATTTTATTTACATGTATATGAAACGGAACACATTTGTGTGTGCATTGAAAAACACAAGTGTGGATCCGGAAATACAAGTGTGAATCCTTTTGCGGATCATGAAATACAAGTGTGAATCCTTCTGTGTGCATGTGTGTATTATGAGACTGTTCTGAGCCCATAGTAAACGGAGCCGTCTCGTGGAGCTTGACACAATCCGGTGTATATTGCGTGGGGACGGAAGGTTTTTTGCGGTTGCATTTGCGTTACTCCGATGCGTTTTGCCGTATTTGTCCTCGTGGAGCCGGTCCTTCAGGCTGCATTCAGGGACAACTTGGCTTGAGATGAAAGGCTAACATTCTCAAGTTTAGCAGGTATTTTTCAAATATTCAGACTAAGAGTAACAATTGAACTGTGTCCTTATCTTTGTTTTCACGTCATAATGGATTGTTAACTACATGAAATGATTAGCTGTTTTGTTTTATGTATGACTGTATGTGTGTGGACCCCAGTGACTCAGAAACTTTGACTTGCTGACACTGCACAACAAAAGGTCAGGGGTCAATTAAATCATTAGCAGCACCCACTTTGGACCATGAATGTCCAAACCAAATGTAACAGCTGTAGTAGAAATATCTTTGGCTCCACTAATTCCATCAAACTAATCATCTCTGCCTTAAAGAAGCGCATGCAGAGCTAAAACTACAACCTATGCAAAGACAGAATACATAATGATCATTCATATTTACACTGTAACTACAGACAGTAACAAACAGGAAGTGACAAGGTCAAAGTAGTGCAAAACCATAATGATGGAGCTATTTGGCTGAAAATATCAAGGCATCCAACTGTAACAGTTACAAAAAAAACGTGTGCCTGGCCATGTGGAATATGAAGCTTCTTCAGAGGGCTTCTGTCCTTTCTGTCATATGCAACATCAGTTCAGTTCATGTTTGAGACCAAACCATTATGATAATCTCAATACATCTCAATCAGACTCCTTTAAAAGTACCTCAACAATATTTAATTCTTAAGAAACTAGATTGATTTACATTGACTTTAGGTTCAAATGTCAACAGTATGTGTTAACTCACATTAAAGTCAGTGGTTTGTGGGTGAAGGCCTTTGGTTTCATTGAACACTCCACACCCTCAGATAAAGAGCAGGGGCTCTATATAATACTGCAGAATCCTTCATAGACTGTTACATGAGTTTCAGAACTGTCACATAGATCCAAACATGGCAGAGGGAGGCAGTGGGATACATGTGTAGCAGGAGTCTGTGCTGCAGGATGGAAACACAGAGGCTTTCAGGTTCTGGGGTGATGTTGGAGTTTTGGACACCAGTGAGTATCTGGATACAGAAGGCAGTGCACTGTCTTAAACCTGCAGGAAGAGAAGCAGGGAAAGATTCACTTTTCTCACAAGAGCAAACTTCCAATTAGCACAAAGGCCTTAGTAATATCAGTTTGGGTAAAGGCATTTCTGTGAAGGAAATGAGTATCATTAAGCAATTCACCAGAAATACAAAATATCAAACTGCATTGTGTCTTTTATTCAAATCAGATTTAACAGAAAATAAAAAAATGCATCCAGTAACTCATTAAAGGTGGGGTAGGTAAGTTTGAGAAACCGGCTCGAGATACACTTTTTGTTATATTCCATGGAATGCTCTTAACATCCCGATAGCAATGAATATCTTAAGTGCTTTGACAAAAAATCCATAAAAAAAATGTAATCTGTGGAAGCCGTAGTACTGTAAAAAGCACGACCAATCATTTTAGCCGGCCCGGCTAAAATAACTGGATGGCCTACCTGCCTGTCAGCCTTCCATCTGTGCACAAACTTATCTCGTGCCCTCATTGGTCATGTGCGCGTTCGTGTGTGTTGGAGGAGGGGCTCTGTAAGGAAGTGGCAGATTTTCTCCGGTTGTGTATTTTCAAATTCTAGCGATCTCGAGCCGGTTTCTCAAACTTACCTACCCTACCTTTAAATGAGCTTCCATCCCAATAATAAAATAGTAAGTCATACTAATGAGATAATAAGTCATAATTTTGAATTATGAAATTATTTACAGGATAAACATTTTAATTTTATGTGGCAGAAATGGGCTTCCATACATTAATTCTCCATCTTACACAGAGCGCTGACCTCAGCCTCGTCACACACTCAGACAGGAACTGAAGGCTGGCTGCCATCAGTGACCTCTCTATGCACTGTGGCTGAAATAGAGCAAATCCCCACTGCCAATCTGGTGAAAAGACTTGCCAGGAGAGCAGAGTCTGTTAGAGGAGCTCCTCATAACCACTGTCTCACATGTGACAGGAACATTCAGTCTACATGCTGCAGTTAGGGCTACAATAACCCAAACTAGACAGACTGGTTAGTCATAAACAGCTCTTACAAATATAACAACTGAAGACTGCCTCAGGACAATGCCAGGTCTAACAGTCTAATGAATTAGAACTCATTTTAGTGTATAATAGTATAGTATTGATTATTATTAGTATTTGACCACTACCACTCCCTCATCTCAAAATCAGTTTTTTATAACTTGTTTTTGGTTCGATGCCTGAAATAAGGTCTGTGTTTAACACAAGGTGGAGAGATTTTCATGTTTTGTTCTACGAGTCATAAAATACATCTGCAAAAATCCCACTGTCGATTTGCCCGAAGCTTTTACATTTGATAAAAAAAAGTGTTTGCTAACAAGTGTCTGAAAGGAGACCACTAAACATCATCACGCAGAACATTAGCCGCCTTTAGCTTAGCGGTGTTGATATGCAGCCATGTGACCGTCCTGTAGTTCATTTATAGAACTACTTTCAATATAGCTTTTTTCTTCTGGTGATAGCTTTCAGGCTTCAACAATTATTAAAGTGGTGTAAATATGTAGAGATTATCCTGCTGAACAAACCGTGTAAGTATCTTAAACGTGTGTTTGCCTCAAAGCTTATTTTCTGCAATATTCCAAAACCCAGTGAAAAATCCCATTGCTTTTTGTCGAGGGAGTCCTTGCAATGCTCACCTTCTTGGGTTTGCCTTTAAAAATAGCTAATCTCTGCACCAGTCTATAGAGGTTTAGTTTAAAATGTGCAGTGTGTGGAGGAGCAAAGGGCCATATCATTAATATCAGTCCTTGTTAAAATGCTTACCTTGTGGGGTCTTCCGACAGTGAAAAGCCCCCAACAATGCTGACCACATTCCTTCTGTTCTCAAAGCCTCCGAAGCTAAGAGTCACCTGTTTCAAAACAGAATAAATATACCGTCAACCTAAGTGAAGTGAGCAAACGATAAAAGCTCAGGAAAAACAAGTATTCAATCTTTATATGTCATTCAATAACAATATGTTACAATAAAACATTTTTATTTGATGAAAAGGATGACCGATATTCAGGTGAAGATGCTAGATTTGGCAGAGAAACTTCGATAGAGCGCAGTGTCCACTGACCTGCTCCAGCACGGTGTCGGTGGGCAGCTTCTGCAGGCTCTCCAGGTGTGAGTGGAAGAGGTGTGTGTGTGTCAGCATCACCTCCAGCAGGGCCTCGATGATGTAGCCGATGGTGCAGTCGTCTGGCAGCCGGATCTTCTCTGCTGTGCTGATGAAGTTCCCCAAACTGAAAACGGGACAGAGATCAGTCTGAAACAGTTCACATCACAAGCAGATCATAGAGCATACCTTTTGGCCTTTCATATCCCTGACATGTTTATTTGGGCCAGTGCCGATATGTTCAGAGGTGCTCAGATTATTTACTTAAAGGGGACCTATCTTGCAAAATACACTTTTGTACGTCTTTTATACATGAATATGTGTCCCCGGTGTTCCAGGGAACTCACCAAGTGTCAGAAAACACAACCCTCTCTATTTTCCTCCATACCCAAATCTCTAAAAAAGGGGCTGCAACGGATCTGATAAAAACTGATCCAGATTTGAACACTGTCCTGACGTCAGGACAGTGGCGCTACGGCTATTGGGCCAACTCCACCAATCAGGAGGAGACAGCCACGGCCATTGCCGTTCGAAAGCGCTGGAGACGCTGTAGTACATATGCCAGGCCTGTAGATGGTGCTGATCTCACTGAATCAGCCCTTGCAAAAACAGGGCTACAAAATGTCAAATTGAGCAAAATGAGGCATGGCTAAAATGCATGATCTGTTTGGTATTTTTGAAAAAAAAAAAAGTATAAATATGCCTTATATAGGTATGGTCCTACATTATATTATTCAAATATAGCATGATCGGTCCACTTTAAGGAAAAGTAGCAATACTACGGTGTAAAAAAATACTCAGTTACAAGTACAAGTCCTGCATTTAAAATGTTACTTAAGTATAAGTAAAAAAGTATTAGCAGTGTCGAAAATAAAAGTACTCCTTATGCAAAATGACAATTTTAAGCACAACATTTAAAATAAATATTGGTGCATTCATGTGTTCATCACTTTAATGTTGCACTTGGTATAAGCAGGGTTTATTTGAAATACTTGACGTACTACTGGGTAGCACAACTATAATAACATATAATAATGTGTGTTGATTTAAATATAAAGTAACTGCAAATACATCTGCAAAGTAACTAGTAACTAAATATGTAAAATTAATGTAGTTCAGTAAAAAGTACAACATTTGCTTACAAAATGTGTTAGAGTACAATTATAAAGTAGCAGAATGTGAAAATACTCAAGTAAAGTACCTCCTTTCTTTTGTTAAGTACAGTACTTGTGTAAATGTACTTAGTTACATTACACCACTGGATATGTTACTCTCAACATAACTGTCATTGTTTCTGTCTCCATCAACACCTTCTAGCTTACTGGAGCTCAGGCGAGTCCAGGCACATTCTCTGAGGGTTATCAGAAGAGATTCTTGTAAACATTTTCCTTCTTCAGCTACATGAGAGCTAACACACAGGGCTGTTCATAAACACTCGGTGACTCCATGACCTACCTGGCCCATGGGCTCATTTTCAGTGCCAGGCCTCTGCTGATACAGAAACCTGCTCCACCTGTTGCAAACCAGAACTTAACCGACACCTGAAATGAGACAGAGACAGTCAGCTGTTAGAGGTGGAAGAGGTGGAACAGTTTGAAAGGCAGCATCACACAGTTTTCTCCACATTTTGAAGACTTGATCTGTCTCTTGTGGATCTCCTGATGAAGTGTGAGCAGACTGACCGATCCATCACTCTTGACCCTCTCTGCTGCCTCGATTGGATGGTCCAGACTGGGCCGGCCCAGGTACACATCCTGGCTGTGGTGGTAGGTGGAGAGCAGCTGCAGCAGGCTGGGCAGGATCACGTAGTTATCATCATCCACGTGGCAGAACCACCTGACACACACACACACACACACACACACACACACACACACACACACACACACTTAGATTGGTTAAAATGAAGTGTTATGCTGATTGTCCATATAGGACAAAAGCAACAGTTTATTTTGCAAATCTCTTAACACTGGAAATGGCATTGTAGAACATGGAGAAATGCAAGATAGTGATGCTATCTATCGTACAACAGCAGTTTTTAAGATATTAGAAACAAAAAACCGCTTGTCTGTTCAAATCAGATCACTTTCACTCACTTTTTCTGAGACTCTATGAATTTATCGTACTCCACAGACATCTTGCAGCACAGAGCCTGGCGGGTGTGAGCGGCTGAGCAGTTAGTGTTGATGATGTTCACTCCTGGAGGGGGACAGCAGTTCAGTTACATGCTGCTGTTGACATACAACTGTATATTCCATGTTTGTTTTTTTAATAATTGCCTATGTGTATGTTTTTCATTATTTCAGTACAAGTTGTTGTACACAGTAGACAGACAAAGGTGTTACATGTTGCTCTTATTATTATTATACGAGAACTGTCCGGCTTCCCACCTGTTCTCATGCGGAGCTCCTTGTCTTCACCATCAGTGAAGATGTAGGTCTGAAACACACAAAGACACACCGTTAAACTGATCCATTGTCTTATACTGGGACAATATGAAGTGCTCCATAGTTTGCTTGTAGACACAATAGTGCAAGACACATTCAAAATAAAAGAGAACATTTAATATCACTGGAGTTGTGTCTTTCTGGCTATGGTATCCGTTTCAAAATGTAATACACCCTTCCACAGAGGTTTATGAAAATCGGGGCTGTAGTTTTTCCGTAATCCTGCTGATAAACAAACAAACAGACAATCTCAGCTGAACACATGTGGAAGTTTATTTGTATCTTTTTGTTTTTCTTAAGGTTCTGTTGTGCATAAAACCCAAGTTCAACTAGACAAACATATGACAGAAAGATGAACTGCTACATTGACAGTTTGGACCATTTCATCAATGAGCTTCAATAATGGCGCGTTTCCACTACAGCGCAGAGCCCCCCGGAGAGCTGTGACGTCAGCGGCCCGTCTTTGGTTGCGTTTCCACTTAGCGTAGTACCGGCTAGCGGGTCCTAATTCACAGTTTTTCTGGCCCCATAAAATCGTGGTTCTAGGGCCAGAGACAACGAGGCTGAGTCGGGCTGAGTATGCTAAACTAGAGAGAGCATCGCTGGCAAGGGGGCTACAACTACAACAAGATGGACATATTTGACCGTGATTTAATTGTAATACACGTTTCAAAATGATGCCGAAGTAACAACATACTGATACCGGTTAGTAAAAACCATGAATTAATGCTTTGACAAGTCTGCAGACAGACGGCAGGCGAAAAACCTTTTAAAATGCGTGTTTTCTAAATGGAGATCGGCTAAGCTAACGCAGTATATGCTCCGACCGTCCACACTCACAACAACGGCCTATACAGACATAAATAAACCAGCGACTGTATTCGCCATGACACAGACAGTCTGTGGTTTGTACTTGTTTAACTTTTGTCTAGTTTCTGAACATATATGAGGAGCTGTGAGCTCTGAGTGCTAACAGCTAACGGCTGTGTTGTTTTTCTGGGGTGCTCATTGAAGATGACGTCACGGCTCCGCCTACACTGCGTTACTATAGATCAGGGCTTCTCAAACTCCGGACTAAGGTCCGGATCCGGACCGAACTGCAAATCAATCCGGACCGAACCCTGTGTCCCATTATAAAAAAAAAAAAAAAATTCTGATTCTGATAAATTCATGTACATCATGTACGCGCGCAGGGGCGTCGCCTGGACCTGAAAACATTCGGGGCTTAGCCCACAGTGGCGGCGGCACTACAGTGGCATTTTTTTACTGCAACACTCCCCACACGCACACACACAGTACACCCGCGACTGTTACAATGAAGGCTCGATAATCAGCTCACGGCATATAGGCAGGGGTAAAGTGGTATTTTTTATGAGTGGGGGGCTCACCTCCTCAAGGGTGGTCTGGGGGGCTCACCTCCTCAAGGGTGGTCCGGGGGGATGCTCCCCCGGGAAGATTTTTTTTTAAATATTGAAGTTAAATGCATCAATCTGGCGCACTTTGAGAGCAAAATGAAGAGATCTATGGATACCTCTCTCAACACCCATATGAAGCAGAACTGTAAACAGATGTACTTTTTCTTTATGGATATTTTACTAATCACTCCCCTTTTAAACTCTATTCTTGTTTTACTGCCATATAGTATTTCATAACTGTTTTTCCTTTATTCTCTTATTTTTTTTATAACTATAATGATCATATGAAGGTGTGCCGCGGAAATAATCTTTTGAATAATTTGTGACCAAACCATTTGAGACCCACTGAGATAACTTAGACTAAAGTTAAGTATCTAAACACTCATAGAGTCCTTTAGCTCACCTGAGTCTCTCAGTCTGAGAGGAGAGGACTCTCCTCCAGCTTCTTGTGGAACAAACAGCTCCTTATGTCCGTTAGTGCAGCTAGCTAACCAGATGCTAACAACACGGTCCCTGCTGGCACCGGTCCCTCCCTCCCCCTCTCTCTCTCTCTATCACACTAAATGCGCTATTGCCACACACACACAGAGCCGAGCTTGAATGACACAAGCACACATTTATTTCCATGCAACTCTCTGATTGGTCTGGTGTCATGCCTCTGTTGCATTCACTGAACACGGGAAATTACAGTGCTGCCGTCCTCTCTTGTGTCATGATGAGGTTCACGTAAAGCACGGTTAATGTATTATATTATTGAGGGAGAATTGTCCGGGGCTACAGAAAAAACATTCGGGGCTAAAGCCCCGGAGGCCCAGGCCAGGCGACGCCACTGTACGCGCGTCTTGTGTCTGACGCGTTGTGAGAATGAACGTGCATATATATTTACTTGTGTGCGCGAGCGTGACACGCATAGCAGACAGCAAGTTAACCGCAAGTTTACCTTGACATACTGTATGTACAGTATGTATTGAATGTGTGCGTGTATACAGGGGCGCCGTTTACCGACAGGCAAGTGCTTGGACCAGAAGGGGGCCCCCAAAGAAGGTAGATTAAGAAGGTCCACAGCAACGACAACATGAAACACCCTTTAATTTACTGCAACGACATGTCGGGAAACCCCCTCAAGGGGGCCCCATGCATCGGGCGCCAAGAAACTGCTTCTTAATTTTTGTTTCGGTTCTCCGCTGGGGGGGGGGGGGGGGCGTTGATCCGGACCAGTGACCTTTTATAAAGTTCACAACTGGACCTTTAATAAAAAAGTTTGAGTACCCCTGCTATAGATACTACCCCAGTTTCTAAACTGTAATAGAAATGCGCCATAAAGTGAGCCAGTCCTAACGAGGCCTAACAAAACCGTACTAAGTCGAGCGAGGCCTGCGGTGGAAATGCGCCATAATACCACTCAATAGTGAAATGTAGTACACAGACCTCTGTATGGCTCTGCTCTGCATTGGCTTCCAATATTTGGAAGAAGCTTCCAGAACACCCGAGGTATGCCCCGACCTTTCTGTTTACTGCTGCATTATAATATAATGCTTCTGCACCTCTCCAAGAATCTACTGCTTTCCCAATGTTGACTCCCTTCATTCTGTTTTATGAATTGTATTGCTTAATTTGTTTACGTGTCTTACTCCCTATGTAAAGCCTTTGTGTCTGAAACGTGCTACACCCTTACAGAGTGAGCAGACAGAGAGAGGCCTCTCAGACCGTGCAGACTGGCTTTGACCCCCCCTCACCTTCTAATGACACACTCAAGAGGCTTGTTGAACTTGACCTTGGGCTTCTAATAAATAACCATCATCCATGTCTTTATGTGGTGACATCTTCTGGAAGAGCCACACTAACAGATTTACATTACAGCCGCTTTTAATTTTACAAGCAGCTATAATCACAGGGGGAAGACTTTACTGACCTGAGGGCAGTAAAATAAAAGGGCTACAGGCCCAGCAGTACATGTTAGTTACAGTTGACAGCTAACAGAGAGCAGACTCACAGTGGAGCTGTTCATACTGCAGCACACACTCTTCTCTCTGACATGTATGGGTGAAGTGAGGCAGAGTGCTGCTGAACCTCCTTCCCTCCACACTGAGGCTCTTTGTGCAGGGACTTACTAACTGATTTTAATAGCTCTCAATACAGAGCTGCTCACTGTGCTTTCTGTCATCTGTATGGACCATATAATAGAACCATCCTTTGGGCAGCTGAGCGGAAATGGTGGAAATCCAAACACCCTGATAACCTCCTAACCTATCAGGCTCTCCTCTCCTCTTTCTCTTCTTCGATCTCTCAGGCAAAAATCACTTTCTTTCAAGATAAGATCCATTCTTCCTATTCCAATCCCAAAAAACGATTCTCTATCTTCTCCACCCTCCTTGACCCCCCCCCCCCCATCCCTCCTCCCTCCTCCAAGCGACTTTGTTAACTACTTTGAAAAAAAGGTTGATGATATTCGTTCTTCATTTTCCGACTCACCATTACTCACCACTGGGTCACCTGACCCACCTTTCACCCACACACTAACCTCTTTTTCCCCTCTCTCTCCAAGTGAGGTTCTTACCCTCATTACCTCTGCCCGTCCTACCACCTGTCCTCTGGACCCTATCCCCTCAAACCTCCTTCAGACTATCGCTCCTGATATTCTACCGTTTCTCACCCATTTCATCAACACTTCTCTAACTTCTGGTCACTTTCCAAACAGTCTCAAGGAGGCCAGAGTAAACCTTCTCCTAAAGAAACCCACTCTCAACCCGTCTGATGTTATAAACTACAGGCCTGTCTCTCTCCTCCCGTTCCTGTCTAAAACACTTGAACGCTTACTTTAAACAACTCGCCTGTTATCTCCATCAGAACAACCTTCTGGATCCGCACCAGTCTGGTTTCAAGGCAGGTCACTCCACAGAAACTGCTCTCCTTGCTGTCTCTGAGGAACTACACACTGCTAAGCAGTCTCCCTCTCCTCTGTCATCATCCTTCTGGACCTGTCTGCTGCATTCGACACGGTGAATCATCAGATCCTCCTTCGCACTCTCCAAGAACTTGGAGTTTCAGGCACTGCACTTTCCCTCCTCACCTCATACCTCAAAGACCGCACCTACAGGGTAACTTGGAGAGGGTCAGAGTCCGACCCTTGTCAATTATCTACAGGGGTCCCTCAGGGCTCTGTTCTTGGTCCCCTCCTCTTCTCTCTGTACACAAACTCGCTCTGATCAGTCATTAGCCCGCATGGTTTTTCATACCACTGCTAAGCTGACGACACCCAATTAATTCTGTCCTTTCCCCGCTCAGAGACCCAGGTTGTCGCACGCATCTCTGCTTGTCTAGCTGACATCTCTCAGTGGATGTCTGCTCGCCACCCTCAAGCTCAACCTTGACAAGACTGAACTGCTTTTTTAAACCATACACCCCAGCACGTGCACTCCGCTCTGCATCAGCCAAACGGCCACACATCTTCCGGCGCAGTCTGAAAACTCATCTCTTTCGACTCCACTTCGAGCAATAACAAAAAAAACTCACTAAGCACTTACATACTAATAAAGGACTGGCTTATCTAAAGCCAGTTGAGTAGCACTTGAAATGGTTTGGCTCTATGAAACCTGATGTACTTATATGATTCTGTTTTCTTCAAGTTTGTATCTTCTTGGTCGAATGCACTTATTGTAAGTCGCTTTGGATAAAAGCGTCAGCTAAATGAAATGTAATGTAATGTATGGAGTACTTAGGACTACCAAAGCCAAAAAGTATTTATTCACATTCGACTTAGCGTTTGTTCAGAGACTTGAAGCATTAAAACTAGCCTGTCAATCGTCAGGTTTCCACACAAATATATCGCAAATTTGAATCAAAATTCGAGAAAATCTGCTAAAGAGAATGAATGCTTATCAAATTCCCAAACGTTATGTGGTTATTATGAGTTAGTTATGGACATATAAAGCAGAGGGTGTCAACTCTCCAGTCAGAGAACCAGCAATCCGTTGCAGAAGAAGAGGGCACAACAAGATGACTTCATTTAAACAGCGCCAGTCTACCCTCAAACAACTCAAACTCTATAACTGAGGAAACTGGAATTAAAAATGACATTTGTGTTAGTTTCATGTATTAAAGTGAGGAGTTACATCAGAACTGTGTGGAGTGATGAGGAGAGTATTATTTGTTAAGTCACATGCTTCATGAACGCATCCTTATTCATTTAGTCTGTTTTAATTTCACTGTTGCATTTTGCTTAAATACGATAATACTTGAGTGTCAGATCAAGTCTGAGATTGTTCTTGCATCACTGCAGCTTCATTAGCACATCGACCAGGAATTGCAGAACATTCTGTTGGCACAGCTACTTATAAACAACTTGGTTAAATAGATAGTGATTCTGACCCAAGGCAGATGAGGGTAGAGTAAAGATTTATGGTCTTATAAATGTCCTGTGGTTCCACTAAATATCAAACTAACGACATCACAGATGAATCTCTGAATGTGACAAGGCAACACCCTGAACACCAGCAGACCACAGACACAGGGTGTTCACAGGCCTCCGTCAGATCCATCAGCCCTGACAGCCTGTAAACTGCAGAGCTGCTGATGGTGGTGCTGGAGCCCTGCTGCTCCGTCACCACCATCCACTCTGTGCTGCAGGAATGTGCTTATTTATTCAAAGATGTGTTCAGAATTTGATGCAAGTACTTTAAGTTAAGTAATACGCCAGTGTGAAAATACAAAAGCAACATCTGGCCTCAGTGTTTTCAGGTTGTTTTTATAAAGCTCTCTGAACAGATACATTGATAATGAATCATTATTATTAGTTGCAGCTCTACAAACGTCACCACTTCCCATAAGATCCTATAGTTCTCATGCAAGCATTGTTTTACAGATTGTGAGCTGCATGAATATGTGTCCGAATGTTATGACCTGTTGTCAGTATGCAGCGGACATCTTTAATAAACTCATGAGTTATTGTACAGGGCCCACCCCCGGCAGCCATATTGGATGGTTCAGCTCTTGTGTAACAGGCATTATGGAGAGTGCTTGTATTGCTTAACTACCACAGCAGTTAGCAAATGGATTTGGGGTTTTGGACTCTGAGCTGCATATAAATGAGATTTATTTTGGGAAATGATGCCAAGTTGTATACTTGCAAAGCCCAGTATTCAGGGGGATACACTTCCGTGTCAATCTGTTACGTCATTTAGGCCCAAAGAAACGTTTTCCTATTGGCTTACATTGGGAAAGAGATGTCACTGCGAAAATGGAAGCACGCAAGACTTTGGTACTCATTTCTGAACCACTCTACGGATGTGAAAGACAATTCTGTGTTGATAAGTCGCAGACCAACGTTCATATGAATAAACGAGGCCCCGTCTGCAACGCTGTGTTCAGTTCACTTTATCCATCCATGACTCAGGGCTGCAACTACAGATAGAGGTGTGATTACATCATCACAATGTGTCTCTGTGCCATGTTCTCCAATCAAACACCTAAGTCATGCAATTTGCTTCATTTGAAAACCCTAAAAGAAAAGTCAATCTACTATTTCACAGCGCTGCCAGAAAACGTTATATGTAATAGAATATGCTGGAAGCACCTCAAATCTCAGCACTCATTAAAGAAGTTGACATGCTGATGAAAACAAATTATTAGTCTTTTGTGAAAGTCTGTTTCCACTCCAATAGTGTAACAGCGCTGCACTCCATTGTTGGAATTCAGTAGGGCTGGGAAATAATTCAATATGATCATCATCTTTCAATGGAATCATATTGTGATGAACTGATATATGGAGAAGAATAAAGAAGCCCTCCTCACCTGTTCTTTAGCTCGGGAAACCCAGGTCTGGATCAGCAGCTCCAGTCTGGACTTGTGGTACTTCCTGGTAGTCTTTACTGCAATAAAAATGTCCTTTAACTCCAACAGGTCCCGTGGTCTGGACCCTGAAACTCTACCACCCTTTCCCCCAGGGAGCGCTCCTTTTTTGGAGTCCGTCCCTCTTTTGGGACTGTGGATCTCATGTGTGATCCCTTTAGTCTGGATGGGTCTGCCCCACCCTGCCGAGTCAGTCTCCTCTGAGTGTTCAGACCCTCCTGGAGCCCGGAGGCGGTGGTCCTCCGGAGCGGGGCGGACTTGGGGCCGGGGCTGAGGCAGGTCCAGCTGGCGGGCCTGGGGCTGGAGGGCCGGGATGAGCAGGAGCAGGAGGCCGCAGAACGCCAGGGAGAACAGGAAGCAGAACTTGCTGACACCCACTGAGGCTATATGCATCCTGACTGGCCGATGGAGCGTCTTCATCAGCCTCCAGGGCTGCAGCCACTGCCGACACCACCCTGACCCATCCTCACACCGTCAGGAGGAAGCCTGCACAGGGACAAGGGGAAGATACAAGTATTAAAGAGGCATATTCACACTCTTAAGATTCAATGAGACAAGACTTCAGCAGACACAAGCTGCATTCAGCAGTGGACCGGGTACTCAGAACCTTTGCTGAAGTAAAAGTAGTAATACCACAGTGTAGAGATACAAAAAATGTAATAATTTGAAAATGGGTATAAACTCTGCTTTACAGAGCTATTTTAAACAGCTAGGGTTCAATCAATCAATTACATTACATTTCATTTAGCTGGCGCTTTTATCCAAAGCGACTTACAATTACCAATTACAGGGACATTCTCCCTGGAGTAACTAAGGGCTAAGTGCCTTACTCAAGTGCACACTAGTGGTGGTGTTCCTGGCGGGATTTGTACTCACAACCTTTCGATCTTCAGCCCACCTCACTATCCATTAGACCACCACTATCCCTACATCAATTTAAATACTAATCCAAAGACAGAAAATTGGTATAAAAATAATATACAGATTATTCAAAAAACAATAATATTTGTTAGTTAAAGTTCCACAAACCCCACCACTGTGCATATGATCATAAAAATAAAGCTTGCAGAAGCATTGTTTATGCAGAAATATATATATTTTTGAATTGTAATGTTTTGGTGAAAATGCATGTGTTAAGGGTTTTATTGAGCATATGACTGGATACATGAGATTTACTCGTGAAAATCCTGTTTACTTTAGAAATTCATAAAGAAATCTCAGTTTTGGAGATAATTGCCTAAATGATGAGGAAAAGGTTTTCAAAATGAACATGCATACTGTGGACAAGCTTCAACATTAGTACATTCTAACCAGGACACGTATGGATAGAAACAGCAGATTTAAAATAATCACAGTCAAAGTTTGCCTAAAGGGCAAATGTACCATTGACACCTCTTCATAAAGACTACAAGCTGAAAATGCACAAACAATTATTTCCACCACACCTAACAGGTTTTAAAGGGCACAGTGTAGCCTCCTGCTTCCACTGAGAGTCCAGCAGCAGCCATGCTTTACTCTGGTTAATGCCAACACTGGAGCTAGCTCTGGTAACCTGCGAGTCAAACAGGTTGAAACTATGGCAAAGTGGTTTGAAGAGTCAAAACGACACAAGGTTGAATTCGGCATAAGTATATTTCCCCAACTATTGCTCATGTTTATAACATGTAGCCTACGTTTACATGTGGTGATGCTTTACGTTACACTTGCATTGAAGTATGTTAATACAAAACCATTTTGTAAATACATTCGTTTTTAAATATATATGCCGATTGATGATTAACATATATAATGTCGAAGATTAGTATAGTTCTATTTATATACGGTCAAACCTCTTGTCCCACTGTTCCCAAAAGTCAGCATGTAACCACCGCTCCTTAATGGAAGGATTTTAAAGTGGAGTTCGGCTTGGAAGAAAAAAACAGCTTTAAAAGAAAAACATTCGCACCTCACAGCAGCACTTACCATGAAATATCAGAAGACACATTTGACGTATTTTTCCCTGAATGGCGAGGACGAAAGCATTGGCTTTACTGAAACACAACCAGCTAACTGGAAAAACGGTTGTGAAGATGTTGAATGATAACCTAAATGCAACCGGATCCACTGCTGGGCTCGCTGCTCCTTTTTGTTCCAAAGTGACTTTAAATAAAACTACACCAGTTTAGTAGGTCCTCTTCTGCCTTTTTTGGTGTCAGAAAGTTATAAAGAAGACCTTAGACCAGCACAAAGTTACTTTCTCTGCCAGCCCGTCTACTTCTAGTAAACCAAACATTCCTCAAACCACTAAACTCTTGTCGGAAAACTAAACCAACGATAATAACTATGCGTTTCCGGTTTTTCAAAAATAAAATAAGGCTAAAAAGCGGCGTTTGATTGATTGATTGAAAAGTTTATTAACAGCTTGTATATTGGGTACAGTACAGTACAGCTCAAAACATACAATTGTTAAGGGGATGCAGACCAGAGAAAGACTTTCGTCTTGTTTACATCAGGGTCCCCCATTTCCAATTCATCATACAATTGAGGGAAGGAAGAGGGGTGTTTTGATCAAATATCTGAGTCCGATTAAAACATTTCCATCGTTATTATCGTTGTAAAGGTGTAACTGCATAACAAAAACAATAAGACCGATTGAAATATCTTGTAATTTCAGTCGAAAGCAGTAGTATGCTTTTATTCTGACAATGTCCGGTATTGACTGAGCTAACTGTGGTGAGCTTGACGCAGCTTCCACTCCGCTCTGTGATTGCTGTTTGTTTCTCAGTTGCACTCAGCGCCCTCTGCCGGCCGTGATGACGCAGTGCTTCAGTAGCAGTCCACCCTGTATGTTCACCATGCGATTATGACATACAGCAGGTATCACATAACAATGTTCAGTTCTCTTCACAACTCTTAAAGAAAACCGTTTTTAGATTATTCAAAAAGCTTGCAAGCAGGACCAAATGAATAGCTCAATGAATGAAGCCTGAATTCTGTTTTTGCAGGTCTCAGTGGAGATTGTGTCCAAAATTATTGTTATGTGTGATGCATTGTTGCACTTTTGGAAACTATCAATTTAATACAAACCAAAACAGTTAAGCAGTTGAATTGTACCTCTTTGCCTAGATAGATAGATAAATAAATAAATAAATAAAAAACACAGGACACAAGATGAATCCCCAGGTCTGTTTATTATTGATCACAAACACTTCCACATCACTGTCACTGACCAACATCAGTTGCATGTGTCGTTGCAATGTAAATACATTAAAACATTTAATGTAAACACTTTAAAAGTAATCATAACATAAGGAAAATGGAAAACACTGTCATTAGACTAACTTGATTGCTGCTATGATTCTAATGTGCCTCAGTTTGAACAGAATAGAGATGTTGGCCTTTATATCATTTGTTCAAAGTATTGCACACTGTCCTTTAAAAAAAAGCTCAGATATGTTTGAAAAGTATTGTACATTTAAAAAACAATAGATGAAAGAAGTTGTGTCACAAGTCTTTGATAATATCGTCGTAACGTTTCTAAAGCAACTGGTAGTCATTCCGAATAATTCCCTTTTGTCTAAATGCATGACTTCAGTTCTTCCACTGGTTTACAACACCAATAACACAGAATGAGCAGAGGGACGTGGCAGATCATCAGAGGACACCCTGTCTTCATCTCATCAAAGACATTCCTGATCTTCTGCCAATATAACACTAATGGTAAAAGCAACACATATATCTGATCCATACTATGATTCTATAAAGTTGGGGTTATATGGGTGTCTTTTTACGACATTTCATGGCAAAAACCCCACTTGAGTGTTGAGCTATGTCATCATTTTGGCCACACAACATGGGCAGCACATTATTGAATGATACCAGTTTATAGGACTTGACTGTCATTTGTAGTTATTACTCAGATTAGAAAAACTGCACCTCAAATATGAAGCAAAATGTTGGCTTATAAACTTAATAATGCAGTTTTTATTTCTCTCTCAAATACCTTTCATCTGACCTTTAGTGTTTAGACAGACCTTCCACCTTGTGTTATTCTTATATTCATTGTTATTCCCATGGACTGTCTGATAATTTGTCATTTTTTGGACAGAGCAACACTCAAACTTCAAGTTTACCACTGGATTTTCTACAATGGTGGTAAGTAGATTATCTGAATTCAGATGAGTAAAAGCTGGACTTCCAGTCATTTTCAGAAGATTCATCTTTATAGGGTTTTTCCACTGCCTCACCATCCCAAGCTGTACATGCAGTATGCGTTGGGTACCGTCACAAAACACAGGTTAGAAGTATTTTACCACTCTGAGAAAACCTGCTCCATCAAAACTGTGGTGCAGTTTGACAGGATTTGACAGCAGAGGTTCAGTGGTATAGATGTTGGCAGAGGAGATGTTGTTACTGCGAGGTGAACAGACTGAAAGCTGGGAACAGTGAGGGTACTGTGCCCCAGCAATAGACGCTCCTGTATGGGTACAGCCTGGCACATGTGCGCTGGAAAAACCCTTCACAAGGACCACACTATAGCTCACACACAATAACAGTTTCACAAATGACCACTAGAGTGTGACAGCGGACTGCACTTTGGTTCATGCACACAAAACACATACACAGAGGAGGAGGGGTGGGGGGGATTCTGCTGGCTCATGCTGAGGCCGGTCACTCGTCAAACCGTCCCTCCAGGATGCTCTCGAAGGAGAAGGGAAAAAACTTGAAGCCTTGGCCGCAGTAGAACTTGTTCTGGAACTCCACCCTGAGAAAGGAGGAGAAGATGGGTGGTGAGAATTGGGGTTTAATAAGAGTGATTAAACCATATTTACTATGGCTTATAACCAGAAACAGGTTTACAATATATCATTTTTATCATAAAATATACTGTAAAAAATAAATGTCTCAACTGTGAATTTAAGGAGCATACCATAACCCTTTTTACTATAAAGTTTGACTGTCAATGCACAGAGTTTTTTTACAGTGAGAAGTGAAAAGATATCATGTGTTATTAGACAACTCCCTGCAGTGATCAGGATAGTGGTGTCCCTCACACACCTGTCCATCAAGCATATTACCTATCTGCTAAATATAGTTCAATTGTTCGATGAACTTGTGAAACTATATAAAAATGTGATATGATGGATATATTTGGATGTATCATATTGCTTTGTAGACATATCAATTCCATATTGCCAAATGTTGGATCATGGCCAATGCTCTCGAATGTCAACAACTTCAATCTAAAACCCACAGATTGTTTCTAAATTGCAGAAGCTAGCTTAGCGATCCTACAAGATCTACATTCAAGGAGATGTCAGGATTATTACCAGCCATGACAGCAGCTCTGGTATTGTTTCAGCTCATGAGTCTATGTCAATATGACAAAATGTGCTCCTGGAGACACAGTTCGGAGCACAATGAAGTCCAGATGGAATTGGTCAGACCAATGGATCCTCACTTAATGTAATGTGTGGTGTGCACCAATAATGCCAGCCCTGAACAAATCTGGGAAGGTGCATATACATTCTGATTTCATTGCTTCGAGCAGCTTCTGGCAGTGCTTGCCTTTTGTAGCGCTCTGGAGAATTCCAAAGTAAATTGAAAGAGACACTTAATGGGGGGTCAGTGGTTTACATGGATGATTTGAAGGTATGGCGGAGCACTATATTTGTCTGTAAAAACAGACTCAATCCTCTGGACTAAAGCTTAACAGAGAAAAATGCAGAGACAGAGACAGCTTCACTCCTGGGACAGGTGATCAAAGGAGTGAGGGCTGAGAAGTAAATGTTCGTAGTGTCCAGACGGTGGTGCTCTTAAAGTCATAGAGTTCTTTTTCCTCTCCATTCATTTGACTGAGCAGGGACACTGTGGATTGGAGGCAGGGCTTAATGAAAACACAAGTGCGTATTGTCTATGGACTCAGACTCATAGATGATCCAGTTTCTTTTGTTCTTAAAAATCAGACCGTTATGGCTTCATGCCCAACTTCGCAGCTTTCATAGGAATGAACAGGCCACGCCCCCAATGCTGTATCAGTACTCCAGGTCATCTACAACCTCTCCACTGACTGCCAACCATTTTAAGAACCTCTTAGGTCTAAAACAGTGTGGAGTTGCGCATCAAAGCATTTTTTACAATTATCACCAGTGCTTGTTTCCATGATGTCAACCAACGAACCACAGTCTGTCCATACAGGCCTGGTGGTGTGTGACTGCAGCTGTATGGGGATGAGTAAACGCCAGTGACGTATTGTTATAGAAGGCACATTAAGCCAAATGAGACAAGTGCCTGGCAACTGTTTGGGCATGTGAGAAGAAGAATACCTCAATGTATGGAGAGCTTCAAACTAGTTATCTAAGGCCACTGGTGGACATATGGTCATACTAGAGACTCTAAAGGAAGATGTGATAGAGTACACAAGGGACTGACAAAATGCAGAGAGGGCAAACACCCCAGCTTGGACGCCAGGGGTCTGTACAGATGAAGCAAAAGGAGCCACTGATCTCTACACTTCTCCCTAGCAAACCATGGAGGAGGATATGAGAAACAGATATACTTCATTATTCTAGACTACTACTACAGCTTCATCCATATTACACATGCATACAGCAATCATCACACAAGCTGCCTTGAAAGCAACATGTTTGGGACAGGTTTGGAATACCCGAGGAGGTTGTTAGTGACAACAGGCTTTAGTTTTCATCTACTTACTTCTAAGAATTAGTCAGAGAGCTTGACTTTAAACACACAGCCTCTAGTCCATGCAGTCCTCAGGGAGAACAAGCAGTTCAGACTGTGAGAGAGTACAGCTTGTAAGATAAAGTTGGATATACTGCAATTTATCTTCAATGATATATTATATGTTAAAGAAATCTATAGCACTTTTATTTAGAAATGTCAGTGAGAGAAGGTCCTGTAACTTGGTGCAGTTAATGCACATTTGTAATTATTGACATACTTATAATGTCTTTACAAATGTTTTTGTTTTGGTTCTGTAAATCTTTCTGTACAGCACTATGTGCAGGCTGTTCATTCAAAAGAAAACCATATCTTTTTTGATGTGCCTACAGGACCTTTTTTGTCTTTTTGCGGGGGTGTCCAAAGATGCATTGACTATAGTCTTTGAATTATTATTATTGTATTCAAGTTAAAAATTCTAGTAGCGTGACATTTTTGAGGCTGATGGGAATGCCATTCATTTTGTAAATATTTGGTAGTAAACTAAAGTATTGAACAAATCAAAATGTTGATCCAGATGAAAGGTCAGAAGATCAAAAGTTATAACAATTCATCCTGAGGGGAACCGGGATGTCTAAACCACATTTTTGGTAAGCTATCCAAAAGGCAGACATTTTATTCTGGACCAAATTGGTGGATCGGACCAACACTGCTATCAGGATGATTCCAATAAGACTGCTGTGCACCTTCAGTGATATCAATCTTGTCAGAGTGAAGACATCCAAGGAAGATAAAATGCATTTGGCTTTTATGTCTTTAAGGCAGGGCACATTCCATTAAAGCAAGTCAAAGTCAAATCCTCCCACACAACAACGGAATTACCCTCTGCGCAGCATACAGTAGGTCTCTGTCTTATTAGCATCACATGACACTGACTGGCTGATATATGATTTTAATAAACAGCCATAGTTGGCCTTGCTTCTCAGTGAACTCACACACAGGCTGGAAGTCATTCTACCAAAGCTTTTGTGTGGACATAACAAACTCACAGTAGTACAGGATGTACCACAGAGTACATGGTACACTTCAACATGTGTATTGTTTCCATGTGTTGTCTGAGGTCAGACTCTGAGCCTGTTAGTTATGCTGCTACCATTCAGTAAGACTTGTACTTGCACAAGTTAAAGGGATGATGGGGGTTTATAGGTTGCAAATAATTACTTTTGAAAGGTAAATAAATAATAGATCATGTCCTAAAACTCAATTGATCAGTAAATAACATTAATGAGAACACATGTTTGGTTGCTGGGTGTCGATGCCATTGACTGATTTTGACCATTTGAGACCAAAAAATTGATGGAAAAAAAGAAATGTATCAATGACTTATTGAAATGTTCAACTGCAGATACCACTATTAAATCTCTTGATGGATGCATTATAAATATGTCTAACTGCAGACGGGATGGATTATTAGGAAGTCAGAAACCCATTTGTGAATTAGCAACATGTATTACTCGATAACAACTCAAATAGAGAGGACACACAAGTCAATGAGAGTTGTAACATTGTGTTTGTATGTTGTCTATAAAGTAGTGCAGTTATAGAGTCATTAACCTTTCATAGATGTTCCTTTTTATAAAGTGGTCACTTCAATCACTACACTGGTTTGTTGAATAAAGCTGTAGCTGCAGTGCAGAGCAGCATCGGGGAAATCCAAGTGGAACTCTTTTCACATGCAGGAACATATGTCTGGCTCCATGTTCCACACCAGAGACCAGCGAACACACCAGATGCTTAACTAGTGGAAGCTAACTTTTACAAATCCTTCAACTCCTTTTGTTGCTTGTAGAGAATAAAACCCATGACAGCAGTGAAGAAGCGCTCTGAGAGTCAGTAGATGGGACAAGTTTACAAGCTTAGATTGCTATGTGAACAAATATGGCTGCTGAGAGCCGGAGCAGTCTGCCACTGACCCCCTCATATCTCTTCCATTATTACATGGCTTAGTTATATACTCGATTCTGATTGGTCAATCCGGACATTTCAGAGGTCAATATGACAGTAGTACAGACTACTGTTAAGCAGTATAATGACTGTTGCTAAGGAGGATCAAGATAGAGAAAGGAAAAGATGTTAAAAGACGGAGCTCTGGACATCAGATAAATCAACAGAAGCAGACAGACAGGAAGTAAACACGAACAGGAACACGGTATGGGCTCTGTCGTGTTTAAGGACTTGCTTGTGGAAAATACATTTTGAACCGACTGTACATCAGTCACAGAAAACATCAATCAGAGCTGCCTTGTTGTCAGACTTCCAGCCGTTGGTGTGCCGTGAAACAGAGTTTTATATTCTTTTCAGGTTGATATTATTCAAGCTGTGACTTCCGCATTATCAACAACATCCCTCCGCTTCGCGTCGGGCCGTGATCAACCTGTCGGGTCTTCTTTTTCCAATAATGACCGCCTCGCTGCACATTATCCCTTCCTTAAAACTAATCGGTGATGTGCTGCAGTCTCATTCAGGAAACGTTATATTCAATTCATATGTGATAAAGTTTGTCAGTTTTGAAAATAAATGCAGGTGTCTGGTTCTTTAGATCAAGAAACACAGCACGGGTTCTGTTCATTTTGACTATGAGGTTTCTTAAATAAAGTGGTTATCATATTAAAATGAAGACATCATCCCACAGATGTTTACGTTATTTATAATCCACAATGAAATGATTTTACTAGTTTACATTCTAATACTAGAAATGATCTTTTTTGAGAGCATATCCATTTAAAAATATATATATATATATACCCTAAGAAAGTCAGAGTTAATCAAGCTCAAGCTCAAAGTGATCCGGTTTTATCCAGTTACAGATTGTAGGAAGGTTTTTGTACAGTGAACTGCACTAATGTTTTGATGCATCTGCAGACAAATGTAAAACACTTATCTTCTAGTATCTGTCTGTGTTTTTGCAAAACATTTTTGCTGATATTTCTTTCTGTGGAGTAACGTATCTTCAGATTGTTCCTAAACACACTTAATGTACCTGCATCCACAGTTAGGATACTGTCATTCTTAAACCCTGACTTCTGACGTCTTCATTTAAGAGGAGAAAACATTTTGAGTTCCTGCTGGTTCCTGGCCTGTGAGAGCGAGGGGAGTGCCCAGGAATGTCTCCCAGTTGTGGCAAATATTTGGCCGCCCGAGCTGTGAGAGGTCAGCACTTAAAAGGAGGAAAGAAATGAGAGATCCTCTCATCTGCCTGCGCACACAGCGCTGGAGGTGGAAAAAATGCTCGTACCTACAGTAACACACACTCACTGTTACGACTTACTCCGGTGTGTGTGTGTGCAGATAACTCATCAGCGTGGGTGTGTGAAGAGCAGCCTGCTGTTTACTTTGAACATGACTATTTCCATTCACTCACCTCTGTGAAAAATGCTCCACTACTGTTTTTAACCTTAGCGCAGAGCTGTGGAGCCGACACACTGCTGCTTTATTAACAAAGGGCCCCACTTTCACACAGAGACACACACACTGCCCGGTGTTACCACAGCCTCCTCATGTGGGCCACTGAAGAGTAACCCATTCACTTCTGTGAGAACAGGTCAGATATAATCATTTTGTCTTTGAACTTTAAATTCTACTTTAATTGTGCAGCTGTACATACAGTTGATATGTTACCTGAGTATAAGCACTACACACAACTATTATTACATTTTTAAGTATTTTAGTACAGGGGCCAAAACACTTACAGTAATTTGCAGCGTTTTGTTCATGCAGCCATTTAATAAACTCTGTGCATGTTTCCTCTAGTTGGTAAATGTTGATGTTTCTTCATTTGCATGTGTTTTGGGACATATGTGTTTTTGTAATTGCATTGTTTTTAAACTGCAGCTCGTTCCTTGTGTTTTGTAGCACGGTTACACCTGTCAGCCACCGTATTAAAGAATGAGGTTCTTTCTATTTTCTATTAGTACATTCCATTAACAGACCAGAGCCAACAATGCCTTGATCCACACCCCTCAACATCTTTTGACTTCTCCACGCAGGGCCGGCCCTTGGCATAGGCAGTATAGGCGAATGCTAAGGGCGCATCAACCCATCGGGGGCGCCGGAAATTGGGGAGAAGAAAAAAAAAAAAAAGTTAGAAATTAAAAGAATATTTTTTTTGGAAATATCATAACAACACAATTTCCCGATTTTGGATCAACAAAGTACATCTTATTATCTTATACTAACAGAACTACGCCTATATTGCGTACAGCGCCCATAAACTATGGCACACCCCCCCCCCCAAATCAAGTTGAACTGCCCCAGCCCCAGTAAAAAACAGAGGTTTATGTGAAATTGTTCTTTTTTTGAAATAATGGTTTTAGTGTGCAATTATAGGTTTTAATTTTGTATTTGTGTTCATTTAAAATAAATCAAACTCCCAAAAAACGTATACAGCTTCTGTGTGCTTTTATTAACATTGGAATTTACTATGTAAGCGGCCGCGGGGGGAGCTTTAGAGAGCTCTCTCCTGAAAGACTGAGCGGCTCTGATAACCTCAGCTCAGTGAGGTAAAGGCACACCTTTATATGATCATTATAGTTATAAAAAAATAAGAGAATAGATGAAAAACAGGTATAAAATACTATATGACAGTACAAAAAAGTTGTTATTAATAAACAAGAATACAGTTTGAAAGGGGAGTGATTTGTAAAATATCCATAAAGAAAATCTGTTTACAGTTCTGTTTCAAATGAGTGTTGAGAGATGTATCCATAGATCTCTTCATGTTGCTCTCAAAGTGCACCAGATTGATGATTGATTTAACTTCAACATTAAAAAAAGCTAAAATCTTGCCTAGGGCAGCAAATTGGTCAGGGCCGGCCCTGTCTCCATGGTTTCAACCTGGGCTAACATATTTGAGATCATGAAAATATTGTTGTTGCTGTGTAGTAAAGAAATAAGGAAACATTTTCGATATTTTCTTAGTTTTTCCCTGCACAGCGATTTGTGACCAAATCCTAGCATAACGTACGAGTGCTGAGGATACAAATAGAGGAAGGGTGAACAGTGTACAAGAGTTTTGGAGAACATTGTCATAGAAACCATATCTTTTTTTCTGGTGGTGTGCTAGCATCCCCCAACTCATGACATATTATTCAGATTAGGCAATACACACTAACACATGTTGCCATGGAGCTGAGGGTTTCTAAAAATATCTATATATTTTGTTATGAGAGTTCTTGTTGTTGCCTCCCACATTAGCAGCTGCTGATAATCAGACAGGGGTGTGTTGTTTGGCCTCCAGTCAGTCTTTAGCTTTTTAGTCTAACACATGCATTTATACTGTTTCTGGTTACACTCAGCTACTTCAACACTTTCCTGCAAGAAAGCTTTGTACAACATGGCCTCCAGCCATGTGTGAGGCAGAGAAGGTGGATTATACAACACACTGGAGAATTCTCGGGAGATCAACACAGTGTGGATAAAAGACAGCTGAGCTCATATTTGAAAGGTGGTCACTTTGCGCTCGTTTACAGGAACGACAGACAGACAGAGGACAGACAGACAGGTTCTACTTAACCCTACTTACAGCATTAACACCATCCAACAAAAGCACACAGGATATCTTTCCCTCTCCTTGTTTATCCGTCTCAGAGTCATGACGTGAGGCTCTGTGCTGCGAGCAGGAACCAGACCAGGAGGATTAGAGCAAACACATTTGTTGCTTCCACTTAATAGCTTTAATAAGACGGATCTGTCAAACTGAAATGCAGCAGGGTGCACCTGATCTCAATGCTATTTTGCCACATGCCTGACATGTTCAATGGACTGGATAATATCAGTCCTTTAATTCAGTCCCCAAATATCAACTTGTTGTGTACTGTGATCAACCATACAGTTTTGAATCATCTTTTAAATACACTAGTACCTGCATTTTTGTACCATTTTGTGTTGTAAAAATCTCATGTATTCACTTGATATGTACTGTAGCTGGATGTCAGCTGGGTTAAGCTAGCTTAGCATAAAGGCTGAAAACCAATCCCCCAGGAAGAGAGCCTACCGTTGAGGCAAATTTTCATAGTGGCCAAATGGCGATAGTACACTTACGTTCTGTGACATCATTTGGGCCGAAAAAATACCTTTTTGTAAGTTACATCTGTAACTCAGCGCATCATGTTTTAGCTTAATCTACTACCCAGTTCCAACACTTTTATAGCCCTTATTTAAATCATTAGGGTCTAAAATGCACTAATAGCTGAGATGTTTTCCCTCTCTATTAATTTGACTGAGCCGAGGGCAGGAGATCGAAGGCGAGGCTAAAGGAAAACTCGCACTGTGCACGCTCTATGGGCCCATTTACAGGTGATTTTATTATCTACAATCGCTCCATTTTGGGCATCATATGCCACTGAGCAACTCTTTTTTATTTATTTTATTTTTTTTAATGTGTGCATACTCTAAACTGCATAAACAAATATTTGTGGTTTTAGGGGTTGCAACTATTTATTGCTTCTTACTCCACAAAAATTGTGATACAATGCACCTGTCATAACAAAGACATTATTATATCCTATACATACACAACTTCTGTCTTCTTCTATCTCAGTGCCAAAACCTGTCCATAGACATATGAACTTCAGAGGTAGTTTCCGCTACAGGAGGTATCACACGCACGCACGCACGCACGCACGCACGCACGCACGCACGCACGCACACAAGCTGAAAACACTGTCAGGTGTCTTTTTGCCTCACCTTCAGTAAGGCCTAAGAAATATGATGGTGATATGTATCGTGTCAAAACAATAAAAAAATGTCTCCCTCAGACTATAGCAATACTTTTTTTAATAAAACCATCTCACAGAGAATCTCAGTGCTTGTATAAAACAGTCACTGAGTGCTGATAATTCACTGGATTTATATAATGATGTACTCCGTGCAGAAAGGGATGTTCCCCTCAGGATACTGAACATTTACAACACCTCCTCCTCAGAGTTATCAGCATTACGTCTCATAGCTTGAAACACTGTTAAAAAAGTACTCATTTACATGATTCATGTATACAGCTGCTACCTTCCAACAAGATGAATGCCTTGTAATACCTGTTAATACACATGTTTTATTACTGCATGGCTGAATCAAGCAATAGTAATCCCATACAGTAAGTGTGCCCCTGCTGCAGGGCAGTCCATGACTTCTGCATGTCAGTAGAGTTTACACTAGATCAGCAGGGTGGAGGTGGTGCAAGGAGGCGATGGAGCTGAAGAGTGAGAGGTTATCTGGAGGCCTGTTCTCTCAGTTTGTAACCACTGTGGGTCAGGAATGTTTCTTTTCAAACATACCTCGTGTGCATGTTAAAGTGAAGTGCAGCTTTAGCAGAGATCTTTGGATCAGGAGGTGAACAATGACAGCCTGCTGAGTGTATGTTTCTCTTAATATGGGATTCATTAATGGCATGTGAGAGTTGTGCATGTTATGTGAATACTTTGCAATTAATGGAATGCATGGAGGCTGTGTGGTGGGGTTAAGTCATACTGGAATGTGTCAATGTTGTAATATTTGTGTGTGTTACTAACCAGTGCAGACGCAGGGCGTGCAAGAACGCTGACAGCCCCTCCATGATGAGCAGGATGGCAACAGTGAGCGTGGCAAAGGCCGCAAAGATGATTGACAGGCCGAAGAACCCCGCTCCGCTGCGGGAAGACAGACCCAGGTGCATCACCATGGTCCACAGCACCTCCGACAGCTCTGCACACACACACATTACATTAGATGTTATTCAGCTGACGCTTTTATCTACAGCCACACACACACACACACACACACACACACACACACACACACACACACACACACACACACACACACACACACACACACACACACACACACACACACACACACACACACACACACACAACACACACACACACACACACACACACACACACACACACACACACACACACACACACACACACACACACACACACACACACACACACACACACACACACACACACACACACACACACACACACACACACACACACACACACACACACACACACACACACACACACACACACACACACACACACACACACACACACACACACACACACACACACACACACACACACACACACACACACACACACACACACACACACACACACACACACACACACAGTGATGACACGACAAGGTATACACTCAAATACACAGAACAAGCATCCTTGAATTCACTGTATTAGAACCAATGTACCTACTAAGTCAGCTAATGTATAGAAAGAGTTTTTATCTAGAACTTTTTTAACCACCCCCCCCCCCTGTTGGCATTAATGTTACCGGATCGCTTTTTGAAACTTAGCGACTCATTTAAATAATTTAAGACAAAGTAAGAAATATATATTATATTGTTATTGATTCACTCTGCTGCTCAGAGTAATCAGCACAGTGTCTACTTTACTGTGATCAACACCACCACCAACATACACATGTCCTCTGGCTAGTTTTAGGCTGGAGCCACACGAGAACGGTAACGGTCGTATCTGCTACAGTTCTCTATCAGATAGACGGTTCGGCCACACGAGGCCGACAGGGAAACGCAGATAACGATAACGATAACGGGTCCCAAGGTGGGTAGATCTGTGGACAAAACGCTCTGGGGGGCCAAACGGCTCCGTGTCTACGCCCTATACGATCATTTTCTGATAACGATGACGCAATAGCCCCGCCTCTCCCCACCTCTCCTGCTCACCCCCGTGTCACCCGCGTCATTGCTGATGTGTTTCGCCAACAACAACAACAGTTTTCCGAGTGTTTCGAGCCAGGTCCCGGTATCTCACAGGACAGTGCACCCAGCAGGTGCCTCCAGCAGAGTTTCCGTTAGCCGAAATCTAAAATTCTCCGGTCAAAATGTCGCTTATTGTTTAGGTGTCCTTTAACACTCAGGCAGTCATATCATTAGCTAGAACTAGCTAGATCTGATCGATATGGACATAAACGCGAGTGAAGTCTAATCGGACAGGAGAGAGAGATCAGAGATCAGCTGCTGCTGACGGAGAAAAAGAGCCCTGCCTCTCCCCACCTCTGCTGCTAAATCCACCGCGGAGAATAAACAGAAGGGCAAACATCTTCGCTGCTTTTGGTGTATTTTGTGGCGGAAGTACAGCGCCACTTACAGGCCCGGCATATGTACTACAGCGTCTCCAGCGGGTCGAGCGGTCTCGTGTGGAAGGACACGTTTCTGGTGCCTATTGCGTGTTGACGGAATACTTTTTTGATAACGATTTTGGTTCGTTTGCGTTACCGTTCTCGTGTGGCTCCAGCCTTAGTGACGTTTGGAGCTGGTCCTAGCTACTTCCACTGGAAAAGAGTTGGCAACAGTGCATTTTGTTTTCCACACTTATTGTTCCACTGTTTCCAATTCAGTTACTGAGGAGAGTAACTGGAAATAAGTTACATTGATACTCTTTAGTTACTTGATAGCTTCTTGGGAAAATAAAAGCGCTAAACCTCTTCCTGTTTTGGCTCACAATATCTGACAGACTTCCTATGTGCTGAAAATGGAGCCTTTATTTTCCCTGTAGGTCTTAGCTGATGGCAGACAGAATTCCATTATAGGGAACCAATCTAAACACTGAAGGTGTCATTATTCTACTGTCGTTACATTTGTGAGGTTGTTGTGATAAGTTATAGCAGAAAACATGTCTCTGGCCAATTTAAATTATGTTTTTTTAAATAAAATGTTTCATGCTTGTGTATGTTTTACTCACGTGCATGAGCCAAGCTGAGGGCCCAGAGGCGCAGGTAGGAAGCTGTGTTGGAGATGCATCCCAGACAGTACTCAATGGTGTGGATGGCCTGGTGAACAGCTACATCACCAAAGTCAAACTGTGGTGGAACGACAAGATGGTGAGCACACCCAGCGTAGTTATAGCAACAGACACGTGTTTATTTTTCTACATTTAGTAGCATTGAGCTGATAACTGTTACAGTATTCACTTCAGCCTTGCTCAGGGATATCTCCTTGGTGCTAATGAGGGAAAACACTGCCTGTTTACTTTTCCTTACAGCCCGAAGGTTGAACTGATAACCTTCAGGTCACCACAGCATCAACTGAGTTTCAACTTGAAACCAACTTTAAGGAACTCCTTATATGATCACAACAGGAGCTTTGATTAGGTAGGCTACTGTTGAGATCAAGTATTGCACATACTTAAAGAACGGTGATACATTTTAAGATCATGTCACTGTTTAAATATAAAAATGTGAATAAATGAACACACATCAACACAGTTGTTTTTTTAAGGTACTGACTGCAATAGTAAATATTGCAGAAAAAAGATATAGCTGAACAATTTCCAGTGTGTTATTATACATATGAGTCATCATAGCTTATCAACTGTGGGGTGTCTAAAATAAACACTTTACTCTCTACTTAACACTGATATATGATTATTACCCAGCGGTGCTACTCAGCATGTTGCCAATGACAACAATGAGCTGCCAGCAGTGCATGAACCATGGAAATGAGCGTTATCATCTTAATTAGTTTCAGCTTTGACCTTTGACCCCTGCCTAGGCCTGTTGCACTGATCGGACAGAAGACAAAGACCAAAGGAGCTTGTTTAAGTTTGTTCCTTCTTTTTCCCCCAGCTAGATCACAGCTGAAGGACTTCATAATTATAATAATAAATTATATTTCTATAGCGCTTTTCTTGAACCCAAAGACGCTTTACATTATGAGGGAGGGTAGACAAACAAGGACAGGCAAAAACAAACAAAAACAACAAAACAAAACAAAAAAAACAACTGAAAAAGCGGTCAGGAGGAAGTTGGTTGAGAGGGGACTTGTTTGTGTGTTGTAAAGCCAGCACAGTTCCTCCGTTCTCTGCTTCCTGGAGCAAGCCTTTCCTGTACGAGGCGGGCAGGGGGGGGGAAACATGGGACTCTAATGATCTGAGCGGCTCTTGTTGGCTTTGGCTTTTGCGCTGGTCTGGTTTCCTCTTTCCATGCTTCTCTTTTGTCCTTGGAGCCGTGAAATAAAGTTCATGGAAGCAGCCCTCATTGTTTCCATTCAAAGGGTCTCCGACATAAGTGGCTAATGAAAACAACCCGGGTTAACATGCTGTAATGGCAAAATGCACCGGGGTAAGGGACTCCGATCAGACATTTTGTGAACACAAAGTTCAACTGAACAGTCCCATCATTTAGTCTTTAGACTTGAGTCAGAATGATAAAAAAAAACTCAGTCAAAAGACAGTTTTTTAGCATCCGCAAACTACTTTCAGACTGATTCAGACAGATGCAGAAACAAAAGAAGACTCAGATGCAAAGTTAAATGAGAAAATATTTCACAAGGTGGCTGTATTACTGGAGACAGAATCCTAAATGTGGATATATGTAGAGATACTGTTGTTCTCGTGTCAGACTGAAGGTTGTTTTAACCAACACTTGTCTTGTGAATGATTAAACTCGTCCTTGTTTCGACGGAAACACGCTTAATAATCACCTAAACGGATACACTGACCATCTGAAAAGGTATAAATATTGTAAAACATGATCCCACCATAAGACAACACTATGAATAATATGTAATAGCAACCCTTTTGTTGGTTTTAGACTCGTGTGGATAGAGGACATAGAGGATTTAAAAACGTTTGTCATTTTCTTGATACGAGCAGAGTTATTAAACATATTCTGCCTTGTTTTAACTAATTACATTTAGAGAAATCATCCTACCGATACAAATATGGACTTGTTGCATCGCAGTAGTGTGTTGCACCTTTAAAATATGTTGACAATAAAGACTCCAAGAATGAGCACTGACAGACACAAATATAAATCTTCACAATCAAACACGTAAACATGATGCCTGGTATCGGGAGATGCAGTATAGGAGTAGAAGAGGTTTAGACAGAGCAAACCAGAGGTCAAACACGAACAGATCAGGCAGGACAGCATCCAGACGTGCTACAAAGAAACAAAACACCATTCTTACCGGCTCTTCTTCTGAGGGCTTGAAAGTAAGAAAAGGTCAAAGGTTAGTGGCAGCATTCAGGAACTGTATCAAACTACAAGGTTACATTCAATTTTTGCAGTTTCTTTGACTAGATTTCTCAAGTTTGAGAACCTCATCCAAGTCTAACAGGTAAATAAAGGAATTGACTTCAAAGTCGGGTTTGGGCCATATTGTTGGATAAAGCTTTGGACTCAAGTTGGGCCTCCTTTTGCTTATTTTAAAATGTGATTTAAAAATACTTTTCTCTCTTTCTCCTTCGGATAGTTACTATAATCTGCATCTATTGTGTAAAGTATTGCGATAGGCATGCAAATGGAAGCCAATGAATTGCATTTGCATGGTAAGCTAACAGTGAATTATAGATTAAATAAAGTTATATAAATATGGCATGTTTAAATGTGTTAACTTTAAACACATGAATACTACCGGGTTCAGCTGTCAGTTTTAGGAACACAAACACCTGATTTGAACCAGTGCAACAACAGCTAAATATGTTTAAATTCCCAAATAACCAGCACTGCCACTGATTAGCAGGTCAAGTCAGTTACTCATACAAAGATCTAGAGAAAACACAAAATAAACTATACCTTTCATATACCAGTGTTAACATTTTCTGTAGTATTTAGTGACCGAAAACAACATTCAATATAAACCCCATAACCCTGTTTTTAAGTTAGGGCAACATGGAATATCAAACGCATTCTTATAACATTACAGTTATGTAATATGTTATCGCAACATAAACACTCAGAGATGTATTACGCAGGAGACATGGGAGACACCAAAGCTCTGAGTCACAGATAGAAAAAATATTCTGGGAGGTATTTTCATAAATTCCACTCGCTGGTTCTCATGAAAAGCACCTCTCTGTTTATGTTTCTGAAATGGAAAATCCATGTGTTATCTGCTCCAGTCCATCCCTGCCCTGCCTTTCTCTCTGCACGCTGACTCTGCCCTCACCTATTAGTACTACTCAAGGGAAAAGACCACTCAGTGATATGAAGACACTACAGGGAATAAAGCAAAGAGATGGAGGATGAGCCAGAAGATTTCTATTTAGGATATGTTTTAATAATAGGCTTGATACTTACTTTTAGAAATGAATCTAATATATTTGAATATAAGGCATACTGCATGTTAGTAAGTGAGTCCAATATGAGTCATTACTTTGAAAAATCTAACATTTAGGTCTTTTTGACCACCAGAAAATAAGATAACGTGAAAATCAATCTCACTTCCAATTCGTCAAAAACAGCAGCTTGGCCGTAGGCTTCAAACTATGATGCTATGTACATGGTGTCAGTTTCTACACAGGAAACAACTTGGTTAAGTTTAAGAAAAAGGAAATAGTTTAAGTCAATTACAGTAGTTACGTAGTTAGGTATGTTAAGTACTTACGTTACGTTCCTAATTTAAAACAAGTAAACACTGACTTTTGGTTTCACACAGGAGAGAAAGAATGGTCTTCTGGGTGTAAGTTAAATTAAGAGTCTAAAAGAGGCAGGGGCGTGTCTAAAGGGGGGCTGTTATGGCGCATTTCCACTACACGGCCTCGCTCGGCCTCGCTCGGTATGGCGAGGCCTCGTTAGGACTGGCTCACTTTATGGCGCATTTCCATTACAGTTTAGGAACTGGGGTAGTATCTATAGTAACGCAGTGTAGGCGGAGCCGTGACGTCATCTTCAATGAGAACCCCAGAAAAACAACACAGCCGTTAGCTGTTAGCACTCAGAGCTCACAGCTCCTCATATATGTTCAGAAACTAGACAAAAGTTAAACAAGTACAAACCACAGACTGTCTGTGTCATGGCGAATACAGTCGCTGGTTTATTTATGTCTGTATAGGCCGTTGTTGTGAGTGTGGACGGTCGGAGCATATACTGCGTTAGCTTAGCCAATCTCCATTTAGAAAACACGCATTTTAAAAGGTTTTTCGCCTGCCGTCTGTCTACAGACTTGTCAAAGCATTAATTCATGGTTTTTACTAACCGGTATCAGTATGTTGTTACTTCGGCATCATTTTGAAACGTGTATTACAATTAAATCACGGTCAAATATGTCCATCTTGTTGTAGTTGTAGCCCCCTTGCCAGCGATTCTCTCTCTAGTTTAGCATACTCAGCCCGACTCAGCCTGGTTGTTCCTGGCCCTAGACCCACGATTTTATGAGGCCAGAAAAACTGTGAATTAGGACTCCGCCGGCCGGTACTAGGCCAAGTGGAAACGCAACCAAAAACGGGCCGCTGACGTCACAGCCCTCTTAAACCGTGCTCCGCGCTGTAGTGGAAACGCGCCATTAGACTCCACTGGGCTAGACTAACAGCAATTCCAAGATCAGTGGCACTGTTCAAGGTTGCACAAGAGCATGACAAAGATGGCACTTTTTCTTTTAAGCCAATGATGCTCACTTTAGTTTGAAAAAAAAAAAATTAATTTGCCATTGCCCCTCTATTGGTTTAGTCCTCCCTGAGCCATCTCATTTAAAAACCTAAAATCACCCCTTGGGAAGAAGATGGAACTGGAATCAGTGATTTTTGTGGATATTTCATTGTCTCACCTCATCTCCTTCCTCTGAGTGCTGGGAGAGGTGGTCATGGTCCATAATGCCAGCCTCGTCCTCCGTGGGCCCGTTGCCCACCCGCACCGCTCCGAACTTCTGCGTGCCCTGTTGGGTGAGTCCGGAGCGTGATGAGGAAACGCCTGTTTGCTCTAAAGACTGCTCTAGATTCTCTGCAGGGGTTTCTTCCCTCTTCTTGGACTAGATACAAAAGCCACAAGAGCTGTGTCTAGATTAAAGCAAGCCTTAGGATGAACGCTTTCTTCATTTACTCACATTGATTTAAGAAACAGGGCACCCGGTACAGAGAGAAGGCTTTCATTCCAAAATGAAATACATCCGCCACTTGAAACATGACACTGCTCACAGGCTTCACTGGAGTTAAACCTAAACAAACACAGTCTAAGATAGAATGTTTTAATATATATATATAATATACTTTAAAAGGCACCATGCTGTCAACTCTCCGGGCAATCATACAGCAGCCTGGCAATGAGGCATCGTCTGATTGGTCGGCATGCATGTAAATGAGGTTTATTAGATTGGTGCTTCCAAACGACTCTACATACTCTGCATGTAAGAAGAGGAATAGTGTGATAAGTGTCTACAGTGTATTCATATTTATTCTGTAAACAGTATAGTGTCTATATTGTACTGTTTACACCAGCTCTATAGTGCATTTCATATCTATACACATTTTATGCCGCGTTTATAGTCTTTATAATCCATATAGTTAATACTGTATGTACTTGAGCTTTTCTATACTTGTCATATGTATATTCTTATATTATACTACACATCACAATGCACTTTACTGCTTCTTTTGCACTTCTTGTTAGATGCTAACGGCATTTCATTTTCTTCTTCTAAAACTATAATAAACGTATTAAAATGTAATTAAATATATTTCTTTGTCTAAAGACTAGCTGCTAAAAAACTATATCTGGCACAACTTTAAACGTTTAAATGTAGGACTCTTCATCTTCTCATAAACATGGTAAAATAAATGTGAATGTTTTATAATTGGTATTAATCTTAGTTCTTATGGGACTGCATTTCTTTGAGGTTTAAAACAACAAGTGAAAGCCATGAGAGCATCAGATTGATATATCAGGTATCTCAATAAGTTCATTTTTGTTGCATATGGATTTGTTTGGAATAGAACTGGTCATATAACCAGGTAGAAATCAGTGGCAGTTCATCAGCTGTTAGGGTGCCCTTAGTCTTTCTACCAAAATGTAACACCAAAATATGAGCGTTCCCAAGGCAGGCTTTAAGCATTTTTCACGACAACACCACCAACCACGTTACACAATGTCCATTGAAATGAATGACGGAATAGGAGTGAAAAAAAAAAAAAGGTTATATCAAAGGTCATAAATGTTCAAAGGTGGCAGTAAGGCAATAGGTGGTGTCAGATCCACATACCACTTCGAGTTTCCACAGGTGCTGACGCCGAAGCATCAACGTTTTCACAAACAGCATACCGGGTACACATGAAAGGGCAATCAGCACTAACAAAATCTGGATCGCCATCTACAGATTCAAACAGAGAGGTTAACAGGGAGTTGGTGATGTGTAGCAGTGATCAGAAGAAGCTGATTCCCTGAACAGATCCTGCTGAGGCCTCACACTCCCTCACACTGCTGGGACAGAAAACATACACCACAATCTTTATTTGTCTAGTTCTCCACCATATATAAGCTTTCTCTTGTTATATGTTGCTTTAATCTAACAATAGTAAAAAGCTGATCTGGGGACATAACAGATTTTAAGCGAAACCAAGATTAAAGGCTTAAACTAACTCCAGCTGGTGGAAGGAGAGCATACTCTTCTGCAAGAATGTTCACATTTACAGAAACAAAACTATTTCCAGACAATTATATCAAGAACAGACAGCCTTGGTTGAGTCAGCTGAACACACATATTTTTGTTTTGGTATCCAACGCCACATTGATAAAAGAGATGAGCACATAAGGTGTCAGCAAAGAGAGTCAGCTAAAAAGTTTAAAAAACGTTAAACATTCACCTCGTACTGTTGTCCCAAACTGAAAAATTAACTATTGAGACCAAAACCGTTTTATGAAACAGTCTCTGAACATTTAGATTTGAGCTGTAAAGTCAGGCATTTTAACATGGGTGTCTTAAGGGATGCTTTGGAGCCAGCCATTCATTAAACTGCTGGTTTTTAGCACTTTGGCATTGGCTTCATATTTTAAGCACTGGAGGATGAAGCTTTCTATACACCTAGTAAGTTAGAAAACTTTACTTAACTAGGTGTAGCTGTAGGTTTAGCTAGTAAAGGATACAACAGTAATGAATGACTTCTCTTTAACTGGATGATCTGAGTTCAAGTTGGCAATAATAACTCCTAAAGAACTATTCTACTGCAAGACACAACATCCCTACCAGTTCTGTAAACGAGACAACTCTGACTAGAAGAAAAGGTGAAATATATAATGTCCACCTCTCTACCAATGTTACACCACATTAGTTAGGGAGGGTCATGAAGCTGGGAAAGGCAGAGGGGAGGATGAGGGGGGAGTACCTGCCCCCTGTAGAGGGGTTTGTTAGTGGGGTCATTGTAGTTGAAGAGACACATGTTGATGAAGTGGATGAGCAGGCTGGGCGCGTCCTTGGAGGTGAAGGCATCGTAGGCTGTCCACTTGTAGAACACCAGCAGGGCGAGGTATCCGAACAGGCTGGCCATGAAGACGATCTCAGGGATGAAGCCCAGGAAGATGTTCAGAGGCTTCTTGAAGTACCTGCAGCACAGTGAATCAGTTAACAACACAGACAACGCTAATGGTATGAGCTGCTATGTCGGCGATTGAAAATGTGCTGTAGCATTTATTGAATAGTGTAACTGAGGATATCACTATGTTCCCATAGTACTATGTTCCCAGGCTCCTGTGTTCTTCATCTAAACATTGCAAGAGGGGCGATTTTAGCAGTTTGAATGGGAAAAATCTGTTTAGTAACTGTCGAGATATCAATGTCTTAAGAAAAAGAAAAAAAAAATCAACCAGCCGGTAAACGTGAAGAAATAAGAAAGCACTGGCATTGTCCACCGGAAACCACCAGTTACTAACTTTTTAAAATATTGAAACATTTTCTTCATTAATGAAATTCTGAAAATCCATGTATCTTTATCATTTGCTTGACGGTTTGACTTCCCTGGGTTTGAATTTATAAAACACTGTCCAGAAGTGTGCAACATTATCTTCAAGTATGATTCAAGTATGACGTGATTACATCACGTCCCTTTCATAGGCTTTGTGTTACACCTTTGAGTGTGGCCAATCAGATCAATTACAGACCCTTTAGCTCATAATGATTTTGCTATGAAAACTGAGTAAGACTAATAGTTCAAATGGCAATCTTCAGCCTTGCTGTGGAGTGTAATACTTACAGGTGGTTGAAGAGACTGAGAGACACTCCAAACAGCATGTGGGTGACGCCCACGATCACAGACATCTTCATCTTGAAGGAGTTGAGGAAGGTCAGCTTGTTGGTGGCAAGGTTCCAGATCTGCAGTGATTACATAAAAAGGTAAAATGTTTGAGAACTAACAAAGCTGAGACTGTTCTGATCTTTCTTTACATGAAGAAGGGTGCACTTTCAAAAAACGAAATCAATTTTATAAACTCTATATTATTCTCCTGTGTGTGTGTGTGTGTGTGTGTGTGTGTGTGTGTGTGTGTGTGTGTGTGTGTGTGTGTGTGTGGTGTGTGTGTGTGTGTGTGTGTGTGTGTGTGTGGTAGAGATGTTCAGTGTTTGTGTGTGTGTGTATGTGTGTCCCTGTCTGACTGTGTGTGTGAACATATGTAGTATAGACATCCAGTCTGTCTGTGGGCGTGTCTGCTCTGATTAGATGATGTCACTCAGGTGTGTGGCCCCAATCTGCCCAGCAACACCATGGTAACCAACTGCAGCACTGAGTCCCAATAAGAATGCATTGAGGATTATATCTGACAATTTTGCCACCTGTTCAAAAACTATGGCTCCTATAAAAAAATGACCAGACCGTGAGCATCTGCGAACCCCAATTAACTGATACATGGTTTTTTTGGGGGTTTTGTGTGTAAAATGTGGAGATGGGAGCAGTTTGTTTAGTTTGTCTGGATCTTTCTTCAGACCAGAAAGAAGTACTCTTTCTGGTCTGAAGAAAGATCCAGACAAAATTTTACATGGGAGTCTATTGGGAGCTAGGTGGACTTTTTGACAAGGTTTTGTCTCTTCATGCCCTCAAGAGGCATTTTGTTTAATTTTTTTTCTTTATTTTTTTTTCTTTTTCAACGTAGGATAGGTTTTCCTACGTTTTTCATGAACAATTATGTCTCAGGAGTGTAGGGTTTGGGAATTATGGCAAGTTTAAAAAAAATATATGATGGCGAATTTCAAGCTCTCCTCCACTCTAGCTGTGACATCACGCACTCTAGAGTTAACGAGCTGCGCAATACACACTAATGTTAAAATCTGAAAAAGGCCTCTTTACCAAGCTCCAAACGAAGTTAAATATCTCAAAAAGTGTAAAAGATATCAAAAATCTGAATACGATTTTAATAGTTGAATGTCTTGTGATCATTTTAAAGTTGGAATGAAGTCTCTAGCAGAAAGAATGTGGAAGGAGAAGCATTTTCCACACGGTGTAGGTAAAAGAGGATTTTAAGAGTTGTCCCATAGACACCCATTATAAAATCGAAAACGGCCTGAAAATGTACCAAAACTTAAACGTTGATAAGGGAAAAACTGTAAAAGATATCAAAAATCTGAATAAGATTTTAATAGCTGAAGGTCTTGTGATCATTTTAAAGTTGGAATGAAGTATCTAGCTGTGTGTGTGTGTGTGTGTGTGTTCATGATAATGAAGGAACTGTCAGCCAGAGCAACAGCGTGGCTCAAGGTTTATCTCCAATGCTCAATGGCACAGAGGAGGAAACTGTATCAGCCTTTAAATGCACACACAATACTGCACTGTGATTCAAACAAACTGCAAGCTACTTATTTTTGTTGTTTAAGTGAGTGTAAAGATTTTACCGGGTCAATTCCGAGTGGGTAAGGCCCGTTGAACACACCAGGAACAGCCGGGTCCAACTGCAACACCCGATTTCCATCGAGTGTCTCAAACCTATAGGACAGATCAGGAGGAAATGAATAAATACAAATGTTGACAAAAAGCAGACTGTTTACTTGCTGGTGGCTTTAGAGGAACCAGCAACACATTTTAGAATACCAACACAAACAGCATAGAAGTTAAATAAAATCAATAAATATAATGGTAAGTTATAAGATAGCGGAAGGACTGGTTTAAAACATAATATTTGTTATATTTCATGAAAATATCAGAATATTTAGGTCAGTTTTCTATGGAATCATTTAAGCACAGGTTAGTTGGCAGATCAGTGAGCACAGAAATTAGTAAACGTTTCTGTACAGGCACACAAAACCATGCCGAGCAAGAAGCCCTGCAGCTGTTGTTCAAAAAGTTGTTGTTACAAGTATCATACAATGTGTTAATGAGTAAGCATTAGATGGCGTAAGTTGGTATATTTCTTCACATTAGACAGAAACAAGTTACCTGTTGCCCTCTCTTCTTGTCTTTATGCTAAGCTAGGCTAACTACGTCCTGACTCCAGAACTGTGCTGAAACACAGACATTTCAATTGATATCCATCTTCTCATCTCATTATCAGCAAGAGTATTTCACAAAATGTTACAAATATTCCTTTAACATTTTATGTTCAATTTTCATGCCAAAATGTTACACCAACAAGAGCTAGGCATTGTTGTTGATTTCCTCTTTGATTTGTTGTGTAAACAATTGAAATGAAGGATGTGCTCTTCTCAAACAGAATCAGTATAAGCAGAAAGGATGTATGACTTACGTCCAGTTGGCTCCTTTTGTGCTAAACATTGGCCTGACGCTCCATCCAGAGCCAAACATGTTGAGTGACTTGGAGAAGCAGTCGTTGTAAATGATTCCAGTGTACATGGAGAAGAGCCCCATCAGCAGGATGATGTAGCGACCAGCAAACACCATGTTGAATATCTACAGAGACACACAACAACTTAGAAATCTCATATGTTTACGTTTAATATGTGTACTGTAAGTTTGAACTGCTGAGCTATTCATTACTGGATAAGTCATGTGTTATCGTACCTCGTTGTCACTCTTCTGGGCGACGAGGCGACTCTCTCTGATCACCAGGTAGAGGGCAGCACAGGTCATCAGTGTGCCGTGACCCATGTCCCCAAACATCACAGCAAACAGGAAGGGGAAGGTGATGATGGTGTATGGAGCTGTGACAGGCGACAATCACACACAAGGCTCAATCAAAAGCACTCAAATGGTCAGTCAGTCAAAATAGTATCATTTGATTTGTACTAGGTAAAAGGTATTAATTCCACATAAAAAAAAGTTCATAGCAATCTTAATATTCAATCAATGCAGCATTAAAGCAAGATGTTTAGAGATAGAGAGTTACTGTTACATGTATATTCCAACAAGGCTGTCTCTCTTTCGCCTTCATATTCTTTGCCTGAGGTTTTGAGGAATGCCTCTGCACCTCGTCAGTAAAGCCCTGTAGCTTGCATTATGAACATTTCATTTTTTCTTTTCTCACTGCCATTGTTCTACCTATTGGCCGCATTCAATTATTTGTGAATTCGCTGGTTAGTCTTTTGCCATAGAAAATGATATAATAACAAGAAAAAAATTGCTGCATTTTCTGTATAACCTGGATTGATTTCCCGGTAGTTCCCGATGCCGTAGGCGTCCACGATGTTCTGGAAGCCTGACGTGAACTTGTTGGTCTTGTTGAAGGTGGGCGGGGTTTGCTTGGTCTGCATCCTGTTGAGAATGGACGGCACTGTGGAGCCACTCCTCTCCTATCAAAGAAAGCCCAGGTACATGTTGTAACAGTAAGAACAGATGACAGGGGGGTCCATGCAACCTCATGACATGCCCTACATTTACTAAATTCACTAAATGCATGTCAGAAACAAATCCTGAAGCCTGTTTTCGGTTGGTTTTGGCTTTCCCACTTGTAATTAAATCGTATAAAAAATGTTCATGCACAATATTATTCTCCAATGGGCAAGCTTTTGTACCAGCTAATGATGTTGGTACTGTATTGGTGTGATCCTGTTGCATTTGAGTGGGCGGGAACTAAACTGTATTCATAATCACTTTAGTTCCAACAGCCTAACAGCAAATCCTGAGTACAGTAAAGGTGTGAACCATGGGGGGCCCAATAAAGTAGTCCTTAAGCCAGGGGCGTCGCAGCCATTACATGAGGGTGGGACAAGTCCCCCCCACCTTTTAAAATGATTAGTTTAGACCCCCCGACTTTTACTATGCGGAAAGTCCGTGAATCGGTCTATCCACTCGCCACTCTTTGTAGAGTGCTGTGTCAGTGCTTCATTATCAAATCCATTCCACTTGCTTATTGTGAGAATGCCCAAATCAATGAAATTCCGTACCATGTTTTCAAGGCAGATTCTCAGAGCCGTACACATGAGCCGTACACATGCTGCGTTTTTTGTGTAGCTGTGTCTTTAGTTGTAAAATTATGCGCGCCACAGTTTCCCCGCTGCGAGGCTCCGGCGCTAACAGTTCACGAGCGTGCTCCACTAGCACCCGGATATAAGGCGCTGTTCTTAAAGAGGTGGAGGGAGAGTCCTCTCCTGACAGACTGAGAGGCTGATAACTACAGCTCAGTGAGGTGAAGGACTCTCTGAGGGTTTAGATAGTTCACTTTAGTCTAAGTAGTGGGTCTCAAACGGTTTGGTAATCATTTATGTAAATAAGTATTTCCAAGGCACACCTTTATATGATCATTATAGTTGTAAAAGATAAGAGAATAACAGGTATGAAATAATTCCAACTCATAGGTCTACTATATGACAGTAACACAAAAATACAGAGTGATTTGTAAAATATGCATAAAGAAAAAGTAAATCTGTTTACAGTTCTGTTTCATATGGGTGTTGAGAGATGTATCCATAGATCTCTAATGTTGCTCTCAAAGTGCAGCAGATTGATGCTTTTAACTTCAACATTTAAAAAAAAAATCTTCCCGGGGGAGCATGCCCCCGGACCCCCCTAGAGTAGGTTAGGTCCACCACCTGCCCACACCCCCTGTCAAATTGTCCCACCCACATTGAGGATGCTTCCTACGCCCATGCCTTAAGCCCAGAGTCATCCTTGTTGAACAATGACATGAGTGGCTGCTATAAATGCTCTGTGACCTGCCACAGGTTAAGTGAAGAACAATCTAAATGTTTAGACCCAGATTGCAGCACTTAGTATAATATAGATCACAACAGCAAGAAGCAGAGAGAGCATGGAGAAAATAAAATAAAATAAAGGAATAAGATGGGCAATAATAACTGAATACATTTAAGATTGTAGCTTATGGCTTTATTGATGCAACGTGTGCAGGACATGCAGAGAGAAATATGGGACCCCTACACTACACATAAAACAATATTATGAAGAATTTATGTGAATAAATAAATACACAACCAACTCACCGTCCCTCTGCGGAGAGCGAACTGGATGGAGTCCAGGTCCGAGACGGGACACCACACCTCAGCAATCAGACACTTCTGGGTGACGTCGATGTTGCACAGGTTGAGCGTGTGGTAGATGGCCTTCATCTTCCTCACCTTGATGAACCACACCCGCATGGTCTTGGAGGCGGCCTGCAGCACTCGCTGACGGTGGTCTTCTGTTTGGTTCAGCACCTACAGACGCAGGGTGGAGCCATTTGTTTTAGAGTGTAGATCCTGGTCCAGTCAACACTGGATATTGGGATGTGTGGGCTTGATAGTGTAGAAGATTCAACTAATTTGAGGTGATATAATAATGTAAGTGGTTGCCATGGCACAGGAATCATTAGTTTGGTATGTCATTTATTTAATTATTATTGATTTCCTTTTTTCTTTTTACAATTTAAAGTTATTTCTTCTCTCTCTGTTGGGTTTCATCTCGGTGTTGCATGGCGTCTTGTCATGCAAGCATAATGAGGGCTTAACATCTGAAATGTGCAGTATTTGTATTGTAAATGTTGACGAATGGTAGAAATTGATTGGTTTTACTATACTTCTCTTAGGCTCAGGTCATAATTATATTTGTATGTAAACCTGAGTAAAATGCACTAATTCTGTACAGTTGAATACATTGTATTTGATTGACAGGCTCAGACTAGAGCAGACCTCTCAAGCACAACCAGGCTTTTTCCAGACTCAGTAAGGGCACACTTTAGGAAACCACAACACTGTGAGGCAGAACAAAGCTCTTTCACAGATGAGAACTAATGCACAAGAAAACACCCCTCTGCGTGATGAAGCCTTTTGTTATTTGATTGACAATAAATGTTCTAAAGGAAAACTGAGCCTGAACACTGACATCCTGTTTTGCAAAGTTTCAGAATCATTTCTTGTTGTTAAGTCAGCAGCAGGGTAACAAAGCGTGCAAAGACCCTTTGAAATAATAATTAAATAAACTGACCCTCATTTTGCTCTATTTTTATTTACATTAGTTTATTGAATGTGTATGTAATGTAGTGATGAGTGGTAAAGATCCTTTCTTGTGACAAACGTACCATCTGGAGGTCGTCGATGCGGCTGTTGACTCCGGCCAGCATCTCCTTCCTCTCCTGTGGGGTCTCTGGACACGGGTAGAGAGAGGCACGGAACCTGTACAAATACACAACATATTACACACGCTGCACTTCTGCTTCCACCATGCTCCTTTTTTTACGTTAGTTGATGAAACAAACATGGAAACGTGCAATTATTGCGCAGTGGAGACAACAGACAGCAGGGAGATTATATTTATAAAAAGGTACTCCGGAGAGTTAGTACTGCATTTCAATCAAGTTTAGAACTTGATAGTGACAAATACAAAATAATGGTCAACATTGAAGCAGAAGAGGCAGTTTATATCAATCCCAGAGTCCCGTATATGACTCTCAAACCTTGATTCCAATAAACAATAACAATTATTATGTTTGTTTAACCCTCTCTGCCTGGTAAAAACTCATGTCTTTCAAACTCCGAAGAATTTTGAATATAAATGTAGTTATGAAAAGTTGTAAATGTGGGCAAGATAACCCTGTGTAGAATGTGCCTGCTAATGCCCAGAAATCCTGGATGGTGTTCTGACATCAAGTGTAAACCACAGAAGTACTGTGAGAGCAAATTCCTTTAATGGCCACAATGTTTCAAATGTTGACCAGGTTTGTCCACTACGTACATCCTCTGGTCTATGATGACCTGTTTGCTAGTCTGGATAAACAGCATTCTTATGGATCCCACTGTTATCGTGGCCATGACAGTCCTAACCATATTTCTCCACCTATGGTACCAACATTTATCTCTGAGCTTGACTTTTATTGTAATTTTTACTTTTATATAATACTATCTCGTATAATATTGTGAATGATTCTTAGTTCATAACACCCACCCCTCACAGATCTTCTTCACCCTGTTCTTCAGCTGGTCGCCTTGGAAGAAGATAATGAACACTGATTTGACGACTTGGTCTCCCTGTTGGAAAGAAAACAAGTTTTTTTTAAACGTGCACAACTTAAATATTGGATCCGTTGTATATGTAAATAGAAACGGTTAGAAATGCGTATGACTGATTTTTGTATGCTTCTTTGTACTTTTTCTTCTTAATATGTATTTCTACTTGTCTCTATGATGTATGTTAAGTGTGCTGACCGTGGCGGGGTCCTCCAGAGGATCCTCAATCTCTGCCTTCCTTAAGAAGACGTTTCCCCGGCACACCCTCCACAGCATCCTCTCAAAGGTTGGAATCCTCTCCCTGCTGATCACTCCGGCCACAAACCTGAACAGACAAAACAAACAAGCAATCAGAGCAGATAACATAAAAGAAAACAAACCACAGAATTGACCTAGTCAGTCTTTTGTTTTTAAGCAGGACCATGTTTCTGTTCATTACCCAAATCAAATCATCCTTGGTCAGGTGTGGCTGATTGCTTTTTGTAAAGCTACCAGGTATTTTAATAAGCAACATAAAAAAAAAACACATCATAAAGCACAATTATATCATAAAAAATGGGAGGTTTTGTTTGTATAATGCAAAAGGACACAGATGTAACCGGAATTTTCTTTAAAATGATGATCAGTTTATATTACTATTCCAATATTTGCCAAGACAAGTGGTGGATGTGTATGAGAGAATATGATGCAGTCAATATGCTTACCCAAGTCTGAGTGGGGCCCCTCGACCCCCCTCATTGCCCTCCATCAGGGAGGAAGACTCCTCCAGCAGGTTGGGATCCTCCATCTATCAGTTACAAGTTACTTTATTTAGCACATTAATTATCTGTTGTGGTGTGAACGTCTGAGAAGGTGAAGAAGCAAACCTCATCAAAGAACTGCTGCGTTCGGCGGAGGATGTGTTTGAGCTCCGTCAGCTCCAGGAAGTTCTTCTTCAGGGCCTCCTGGTTGGTGTTGATTTCCTTCAGTTCGTTCTCAAGCTTTTCAAAGGTGGCCTGCCAGTCACAATGAGCAGCGTAAATACAACATAAACACTGTGCTCTTAACAAATGTGCATCATTACTGTGGAAAAAAATCCTGCACATTGTTTATTCTGTATATAAAAATGTAAATGCATGAACCTTAAATAACTAACCACTTCATCATGCTTTAATGAATGTAGTCTCTGTCTGTGTGTCCAACCATTAGACTGATATAATTCATGTTTGTGGTGTGTGTTGCTGAGGATCAGAGGCTGACCATAGAGCTATTTGGATCAGCAGTTCTGTAGAAAACACCTCTGACAGTTCTATAGAAAACACCTCTGTCAAGAGCCATATAAGCAGAACTCTTTACAACACAGAGCCACAAGAGGAGAACGTGTCTTTTCATATTGTAGGCGATGCTGACTTTGTGTTTGTTTTGGAATGTGACAGTTTAAAATGCTTTTTTGGGGTAAAATCAAAGCCATATGAAGTGTGTTTTTATCATCCCTACTATTGAACGTTAATGAATGTATTAATGCGTCTCATAATGACTGCAGATGGCCGGCTGCTTACCTCCAGGTCGATCATGTCCCTGGGAAAGGGCACCTCTGGATTCTCTCCAGTGTCCACAGTTGGGATTGCAGCTTTCTTGATCTCTTTCTCCACAAACCCTGTTCAGAGAGAATCCACGATTCAATATCTTACCAATGAAAAACAATGTTCTTTATGTTTTTCCAGAGGAGTTTTCCTCACTGACACAACTGCAATTTTGAAAAGTGTTCAGAATCTCATGACTTACTCAGTTTCCTGTCCATCTCCTCACATCTCCTCACTTCATTCACAAACTTGCGCTGGAACACGTTGACATCAGGATTCAGCTGTGGGTGGACAAAAATATGGGAATATTAATTAGGATATCATGACACAATAGTTATGGATATGTATCTAAAACTTAGTGACTTATAATGACAGAATTTGTTTTTTTAAGTCATTATACATAATTGAATTAGATCATTTCTGCCTCCAGAGGAGCTGAAAGATGGCATAGCATGGATTATTTATACTCACATCTCTGAACTGGACCATGCCCAGTTCTCCCAGCTCACTGACGCAGCAGTAGGCTGCCTCTGATTGGAGGAAGAGCTGGGCCAGTGTCATCTCCTCACTCCTGAACAGTTCCCCCATGATGACAAGCTCACTCCACCACCACTAGAACAAAGAAGTACTGGACCTGGGGTCGAAGGTAATGTAAAATAAAGAAAGATTATTAAAATATATTTAATATTATTTTTGAAAAAGGTTGAGTCAAAAAACAAAGAAACAATACTTTTTTTCAACTAATTTTTCATCGTATAGTAATACAAATTGGTACTGTACAGAACAACAACTTTCTCATACAGTAATATATTGTTATACTATATTTACTATACAACATTGTTTTGCGAAGTAATCAAGGCATGATTAACAACGGGACAAAGTGGGCAAACATATGGCTGCAACTAATGATTCTTTTCATAATAGTATAATCATACATTTCCTGATTCCTCCGATCTCTATTTATTAAAATATCCCAAAACAATGAGGCAAAGGTCACGTCTTCAAATGTCATGTTTTGGCCAACTTTTGACCAATATCAGAAAGATATTCAGCAAACTGTAAACTAGAATTTGTGATTTTTTTAACAGAGATTGAATAATAAATGGTGGTCAATGAAGTACATAAGTAGTACAGTTTAAGCATTGTTATTACTATACAACATTCTGATGTATGTTTGCATAACTCATAGTAGAAAGCCTATAAACAGGAAGATGCTAAAGCTAAAAACGAAAGGGAATGGCGCTTATAGGCCAAGGATGGATAACGTTATAATAACAGCTCACACACAATGCAATGACGTAGCCAAATGAACAGAATAGCCGAATTGCAAGTAATGATTTTCACTATAAATACCGCTGGGCTTCTTTCTTTTTTTAAATAGGAGCTTAATGTTAGCCCTATAGTTAGCATGCAGAGACTCTGTGGTGTCGCAGCATCATGATGCTGTGCTCTGCCCTTCACTGAAGGACGCCATCATGATGCTGCTGCTGCATCCGGAGAGCATCTGTCAACCGCTCTCATCCCTCCTTTCACAAATAACACCCAATTCATAACATATAATAACCAATATTTTAACGTTTATGCTTTTTTCTACTACACATACATGTCACACCCGGTATAGTCCCAACGCTAGAATATGATTTAGGTTCTTAACAGGTTAAGAATAACGTTCGGACGCTGTAGTAGCCTAACATTTCAGAACGAGAACCACTCGGTTAATTTAACAAACACACATTTGTGTAAACGTAAAAATATAACATTTGCGAGCATTAGGCTCGAGGAAAAAACGACGAAGAAGAGGAAGAAAGCAGTTGGCGGTGACATATTATCACCGTCCTGCCAACCCAAACGTCAAAAAAAAATTCGAACTATAATTAATAATTCTCCTACTGAAACGAAGTCTGAAACGCAAACATAACCTTATTTTACATTAGAGACGTTTAAATATCAATGTAATCACCTGTGTAGGATGCAGCTGGATGCTGAGGTCCAGGGCGATACGTCAAGCTAGATACAGTCGGCCGGAAATACACCCCAATGTGGAAGATTTCAAAAATAAAATCATGACATATTTATCCTACTTTATGAACTTTACAAAAAAAGTATGATATGCATTTCAAATGCATATCATACCTTTGCCATAGTAAATATCACCCAACGTGGGGCATTCTGTTGCTCCATTCTATCTATCTTGATAGTCAAATTATTGTCATGGTTATTTTATTTTGAATATCCAAACCAGAAGCACATTCTGAAATCCGTGACTTTGATTGAGTGATGAGGGATTTATGATTACCAGCAATGATGGACCATGTCAATGACTCATTCACACTGTACACATATATTGTTACGTGCCGTGTTGTGTTTGTGTGTGTCTCTCTCCCCCTGATTCTCTCCCTGCAGGTGCAGCCTCTCCCTCAGGTGCTCCCAATCCCCAAGCATGTGTGGAGCATGTGTGCAGCATGTGTGGTGTCTCTGTCTCTGTGTGAGGCCTGGTTTAACCTGTGTTTTGTTTATTGTCAGGAGATGTGCTCCAGTTTACCTTTGTGTATTGTTTAATTTAGTCACTTTCTTTTAGGAGAAAGTTGTTATTAGTTTACCTTAAATTTACTTTGCAAATTGGCTGGTGAGCCCTTTTTTTTCTTTTGATTATTAAACATCACCTTGTGGCTTCAGCAATCAGTTTCCTCTCTTTTTTCTCTCTCCCGGTTATTTTATATTTTTGTTACTTCCCTTTGTACCCCTAGTCCAGGAGGGAACGTAACAATATACATCAAAAAAGGCCTTTATGAGAAGAAATACATATAAGGACAACCTAAAGGTAACATATTGTTTATTGAATACATGCTTCAAATCTATTGTATGCCTGTCCTAATCTTGAACCTCTTTTTTCTTGCTGTTATTGCTCATGGAGATTATGTGATATGATCGAAGCCCCTGAACAACTAGGCCAAGTCAGTGTACCTTGTTGTAAGATTGTTTTCCTGACCTGATTATTTGATTGAATGTATCGTTATATGGAGCTACAGTGAAGGTTTATTAAGATCTAGATGATCCCTCACACTTCAAGATTCAAGATTCAAGGCTTGTATTGTCATATGTAGCTACATATAGTGTAGTTATGACAATTACATTCTTAGGTCACAGGCTCCTCCAACAGTGCAACACAATACAACAGATAATAGTGCAAGTAAATAAAATAAAATATAATATAATAGAAATTGTGCAGAATAGTCTATATACAAGTTGGAATATTGGAATATTGATATATATAAGTATAAGTTACAACCAGATGAATGTTATGGATGTTCTTAGTTCAGGTGTTTAGCAGTCTTCTGGCCTGTGGGATGAAACTGTCCCTGAGTCTGGTGGTTTTAGTCCTGATGCTGCGGTACCGCCTGCCAGACGGCAGCAGACAGAACAGTTTGTGGCTGGGGTGATGGGGGTCTTTTATAATCCTGAGGGCTTTCTTCCTGAGCCGCTGGGAGTAAAGATCCTCCATGGACGGCAGCTGGTGACAGTGGCGGACTGGTCATCGGGACGTTACCGAAGTGGGCCGGTCGGATAAGTCACTAGCACCCCCCCATGACCTGCACCTCCTCCTGAGATCTCACTATAACAGTAAATATATCAAACTTTATTCGCCTGGTATGTGTGCATGGACTGTGTAAAGGTGAACATACAAGGTATTTGACTCATGTAACACACATGGATGTACTGTACATGTAAAAACAAATAACACAAAGCTAGACTTTTCATCTCACTTTAGTAGCCATCTGGGTAAATCTCAAAAGCTAGACTCGTGATTAATCCAAGAAAGTGATTGATACACAGAAAATATTGAAAGCAAATGCTTCTGCTGGGCCTTCTTTATGATTGATATAAATACGGTCTGCATTTTACATGTAATGTATAAGGAATGGTTGTTTTGCACGTTTTGTTTTGTCGACTGGCCACAGCAGTGCCTTGATGGATGTTAATGCGTTGCGTTCCGGCATAAGTTGAGATGACTTTTTGATTGTTGACCCTGCCTTTTTTACCAGAACCTTCCGCTATAACACCTCAGCTCTGTCAAAAGGTGGTTTCATACAAATGAATGAGGTGGCCGGAATTATTTAATCTTACTCTGAACATTGGCAAAAACAATGATATTAGAGTTTACAAGAAACTGATCAAAAACAAGGATCATGTGGGCCACTAAACCAAAAAAAACTAGGCTCAAAGGACATGAGGGGGCCTACAGAACTAGGGCGCATTACTAATATTAACACCTTTCACATCACACATAGTCCGGCAGTGGCTCAGTCAGTAGGGGCTTGGACTGGGAGCCGTAGGGTCGCTGGTCCAAGTCCCCGACCAGACCTAAATATGGAGTGTGGACTTCTACTTGGAGAGGTCCCAGTTCACCTCCTGCCCTGCCGTGGTGCCCTTGAGCAAGGCACCGGACACCCCCCTTCCCCCCCACTCCCATTGCTCCCCGGGCGCTGTACAATAGCTGCCCACTGCTCCTAGTACTAGACTCCTGGTACTAGGATGGGTTAAAAGCAGAGGCCAAATTTCACTGTGTGTGCTGTGTGCTCTGCATGTGTGACCATTAAAGAGGGTTTCATCCCTCCCTATTCTATTCTATTCTCATTGGATCCTGTGTTATTAAAAGAATATTGATCATATGCAGCCTTTATTTTCCACCATAATCAGTCATGCTATAGAGATTTATTGCCCCCTTCATTTTTTTTATAGTCTGTACTATATCAAACTCTGATTATATGATCATCCTTGTTCCAACTTGTGTCTCTAAGATGCTTATGATTGTTATTACCTTGAATAAAGTGCTACCAAAACCACTCCTCGGGGTCCTGAGAATAAAGTCTACCAGATGTGGTGGAATACTGCACAACTGGCCAAGCGTTGAGTCAGTACTAACAAGATCCTGTAGAATGCTCCCCTTACAAACAGCCACAGCAGCGTTTTACCCCCTTTCATTACACATGGAGCAGGGTTTAAACCAGGACACTGGCTGGTTGCCAGCAGGCAGTTTTGGAAACATGCAACTCCCATAATGTACATCAATTACTGGGGCAGACCTCAACAGCTTTTATAGCTTTCTGACTCGTTCTGGGGTGTCCTGTGTATGCAGTAGAATGTTTTTTCCAAATGTTTGCTTGTGTGTAGAAGAGAGCAAAGCATTCCACATAGACTTATATGGACTAAAAATCTAGGTTCTGAATGGAAGTTGCTCTTGAATTCCACATAAGAGATTGACTCTCTATAAATGTGTTCACGAGCAGTTGTGGAAAGATCAGACCACCACACCCAATGAAACAAGTCTTTCTTCAAAGATGAAGCATGATGGGGCCACAGTCTCTACTCTCCTTAAGATGCTGAGTTATCTATTTTGACAAAGTGGCGACCTCTTCTTTCTTCTTCAATGTTCATTTTGTACCATTGAGAGTAAAATGGCTGATAAAGTAGCCGCTTTAGTGCATGGCTACCTTGTGATTGACAATTAGCGACACTAAAAGATAAGATAAGATATACTTTATTGATCCCAATTTAGTAATTGTTTTTGTTGAGGCAGCATGTAAAACCAAGTATTGCACATGAATAGAAAAACAGTGTTGTTCAGGCTTTGAACATTGCATCAAGTCTATTTGAAAGAATTTCACACGTGCCCAATGTGAAATGTAGATGATACTGCAACCATAACAGATTTGTGTGGAAACAATTACATTTTATGCAATTGACTTATGAAAAAAAATAGGAGTATTTTCTTAATGACAAAACAGTGCTCAATGAAGAATTTAAGATTAAAGTTATTTACATTTTTACATTGGAAATATTAGTTTGACAAAACAATTTTAACTCAAGGTCTACTGAAAACCTTTTTCGGAACTATCAACCACATGCCACAGCCTTCATCAGTGAATGGCGTTGTCATGGCGCCAGCCTCATGACCAACATATTTGAGAGAAAAAGTGATTATTTGTGTGTGAAATGGTAGTAATCTTTTAGCAGCAAAGTACATAAATACTTTGTGTGTTGGAGAAAGGGGCACATGAAATGTTAGCTTCAACAGCAATTCTTCCAGAAGGCATCACAAGATGATCGTGTTGCCAATTAGCTTCTTTATGACCTTTTCCTTCCTGTTGACTTTCATCCATCATAAATCCATCCCACCTTCCATCAACTGAATATGCTCTGCATAGAAATGTTGAAAGGAGTGGAAACAGGAAGAGATCATGCAGACATTCCTCTTTCTGCTATGCCTGAGCTTGTATACATGCGGATCAGTGCAGCTCCACTCTAACTATTCCAACCACGCTGATGGGACGAGGCTACACCAAAGGGGTGTGTTGTTGAATCACTGACGGGCTGGACCTACAGCTAGAGGTAGAGTCTAACCGATGTGTGTGTGTGTGTGTATTTAGGGAGGGGAGGAGTTTGAAGAGAGGAGGAGAGTCCAATGGAAAATAAGGGGGGTGGAGAGAAAAAAACCCAGCCAGCTGTAGCTTGACTGGAGGGTTTCTCTGCCTGGTGTGGCATTCACATCCCAACGCTCATGTGGTAACATCCAGTATCTCTTGGCTGCCCCTGCACACTGGACTGATTCCAGGGATTTGAAGTAGACAGGACAGACAGATAGAGAGACAGAGTGCTTATATGCTGGAGAGAGATAAGTCAGTTACGAAGTAGGAGGAGAAAATAGTAGAGATCAAGAGAAGAAAGGGAGAAGCAGGTGAGAAAGTGGAAAAAGGCATCTAGAAGAAGCAGAAAGGTAGCTTAGCTGTCTGTACACTTCAAATCCACCGACATGGCTACTATGGAAGCACTGGAATCCACAAGTGCCCTGATGGAGCCTCAAACCCTGACTGAGATCTCAGACGATGAGGTCAACCTCCCCCCCTCAGATGACGAAGACGATGCCCTCGCCGCAGTCAAGAAAGAGCTGTCCATCATGGGTACAGAGGGGGATTCCGCCGAAGACAAGGACGAAGCTGGAAAGCAAGACACCCAGGTGAACGGGGTGATGGTTCTGACTTTGCTCGACAAGATCATCGGGGCGGTGGACCAGATCCAGCAGACCCAGAGCGGGTTGGAGGCCAGGCAGCAGGATATGGAGCGCTCGGTGAACAGCATTCAGGGCGAGCTGACCAAACTGTCGAAGAGCCACAGCACTACGTCCAACTCCGTGAACAAGATGATGGAGAAAGTGCGCAAGGTCAGCGTCAACGTCAAGACCGTGCACGCCACCCTGGAGAAGCAAGGAGGCCAGATCAAGAAGCTGGAGAACAACGAGTCCGAGCTGCTCAAGAGACGCAACTTCAAAGTCATGATCTACCAGGTAAGAGTGTGTGAAGATGTATCAGTGTGTGGTTGTGGTTTTTCTGAAAAGTTGTGTATGTAAATGATGTGCCACCTTATTGGTTTAGGGAAGGGTGTGGCCCATTGCTGAGCCCTACAAATGTTTGCGCTCTTGAATGTGAATGAAAGTTATGACACTGACACGCCACTTGGAAAAAAAGAATGCTGTAAGTGGTCATGGTGGTTTAAACTATTTGTTCCTGAGGTGCAGAGGATTTCAGGGAGTGGTTGAAGGTTTCATATCGCTGGCATGCGACCAGGTGACAGGCTGTGCTATCTCTCACCACTGAGCCTGCAATAGCACAAACATGCCACTCACTAATGCTTTTCCCAGGATAGATAATATTTAACAAATAGGATGGTACCTTTCATTTATTTTCCCACACATTTATAAGAATATTTAATCTATTAAGTGATGCTTGGACACTTGTGTGACACCTTTATGAGAAATATACTCTAACCCTAACCTTTAATAAATCAAAGGCCTCAAGGGAAGAGTTTCTTTGTAGTTATAAGCTGACATGACCTGAATGTGTGTATGCCAACCATCAACCGAACCACATCCCTTCAAATTCTGCATGAATGGAAAATGGATTCCTGTGATCATAATCAAAGGCAGAAATTAATTATAAGATTTATTATAAGATTAATTTTAAGATTGATTCACACCGCTTCCTTAGAAACAATTACCGGAGACATTACTCACACTCATTTACAAAAAAACACAGCTTCCTGTGTTTTTCCTGTTTGCTATCTGCTACATTTTCCTTATGAGTGACCCTTTATATGATTTTTTTTTAATACATCATCTCTTTGAGGCCCTATGATCCCTTTAAAAGCACTTTTTTTAGCCATTACTCAATTTAGCGCATTCTACTTTAAGCTCAGATTCAATACATTATATTCTTAAACAACAAACAGTAGCAGTGGTCATGTGTATCATTCTGAGATTTAAACCCTCCCAGATGTTGCTCTACACCCCCCTGCCCGACCCCAGATCTACTGTACATAGTCAAATACCCAGTATCCACTGCAGGTGGCTTCCAGATATTTTTCTTCCGTAGCACACTATACTATATATAGGACTAACGAATACAAGGCAGGCTCGCTGGCTGCGTATTCCTTACGGAATCCATTCGTAACGTCATTTCACTCTTTCCCTTTTTTTTTAAAAACAAAGATGGAAAATACCACAAGCACGCTCAAGGTCCTGTTCAAGGCAGAGGAGTGGAGGAAAGAGAGCTCTGAAGGGCAGATGTTTCATTTAAAAAGACAGAGAGCAGAGCACGTTTTTTTCACTTGAGGGGAGTTGAGGGGAGCCCTGTTTCTTTTTTTAGCCTGTGAGGCTGCTGTGTGATGTGTAATAGCTTGTAGCTTTTTGCAGTGGCGCGAGAACATTCAGAGTTTCCACCCTTGACTCACAGCTTGGACCAACCTCACTCTCTCTCTCTCTCTCAGTCTCTATCCAACAGCGGGGCAGAAGTCAAATTAGAGCTCCATCTTGAGCAACCCAGACAGTCTGACTGTGAATGCTTATAAATTAAAATCTATTCCAACAGGCTTACACACTATATTTGGCTTCATTTTCCTGGTATACCAGCCCAAAGTTGTGTACATAATGATCAGCAGATGAGCATGTCACACCTCTGAGCTGATAAACACATCTGAAGGAATTTGATGAGTGAATTGTTTCGAAATCGGAAAGAAGCATAAATCAACGTTTTAATTAATATCTAATAAAGCTGAGGGCTGCAAGTTTCCAATACAATCTGCTTGGAATACCACACAGAGAAAAACAAAAGGGGTTGGGATATTGCTAGTGTTAGCCAACACCATGGGCCCTGTGGCAAGAGAAACTCCCCCTGAAATGCCTATCTCTGGCTCACCCACTAACTCAAAACACTGGCTTAGTTAACGGTTGCCAACCATGACATAACGTCAGATGTATCTTCATTAAAAAAGCTAAGCACAATGTGTTGTTCTGTTTTCAATTTTCTGTGCTCCCCTGTTGCCCTTCAAGAGCACATTCTTTCAAAATCAGCAGACTGAGAGAGATTCCACCTACACCCCCCAACACTGTCACACTGTTTATTTGGCTACTTGCACAGAGTGTCAACACATAAATTGTTGGTCTTTGTGACGACTCATTAGTACTGTTGAATACCACAGAAAACTCACAGCAACACATTGAACACTGTTAAGCTAATCGTCCTTATGGCTGTCGAAAAGATGTCCTTTTGAATGCACAGTGGAAGTATAAAGTAGGAAAACAGTATAGTCTGCACACTGGACTATAGCCCCCATAAAGCTTTTAGAGTAAAACAGGTGTGGTGTGTCATTTTTACCCCCATTCATTTAAAAATGTGCCTTTAAAACAAAGTCGCCATCTAAGGTCGAAGCTGGTCTTTCCATTGGACTTTGGAGTTATTTCAATATAATAGATTTGAGTGACAAAACAACAATTTAGAAAAATCTACAGTTATAGGATTAATAGCTGTATGTTCTTCCTTACGCCAGGCAAACTAGTTTTAGTCTGGGATTAAATGGTTTTAATGTACATTTTCTTATTCAAGAATTCACAAAAATACTTATGTATATGTTTTCTTTCCTACAGCTAGTTTTCTCTTATTTTGGGCATTGAATTGAGAAGCCCTGCCCTGGTGCTCGGGGGATCATAAAAACACATTGTTACTGAGCTGTGTGTTCTGTTACTGTACATAGGGTCAGCTCACACAGGGAGGACACAGCACGGGGGGTTGTAGTGGAGCATATGGATGTTTAATATCTGCTTTAATAGCAGCTGTTGAGCCACCAGTCTTCCCTCCACTCCCTCCTGGGCCCCCATCACAAGTGAGGTCCTAACAAGCTGACTGACAGAAGCTATGACTTTGTCCATCTTGGTTTCTCATGTAAAACAAATGTCATCAACATCTGACACCATAAATATGTATTTGTGATTTCAATGCATATATATTAGAGTTTCCTTGTGGTCTCATTTCATTTCAAACCTTTATTTAACCAGATTGTCCCTTGAGATCATAGATCTCTTTTTCAAGGGAGACCTGCTGGTCTATAGGAAGTGTTCCACATAATCATGCAAGCTTGTTTTCTATTTTAGGGTAGGGCATGAAAAAAGTTGGATTGCATTAGATCTCATTGTGGCATAATTAATTGCGATCACAAAAAATAAAATCACTCCCCTGCAAAACAACACCACCTGTTATTAAAGCCAATGATATCCCATAACTGGAATGCCGGACTAACTCAGACTACTGTATGATGTGTGAATCAGCAGCTGATCTGTCATCACATCAGTGCAAGTGTCTCCCTGTTAGCATCAGCAGCTGTCCTTCTGTTTGGGGGAGTGCGTGGGTGTGTGTGTGTTCGCAGTGGCGTGTGTGTTTTTGGCTCATTTTGGCCTGAATATCCACTAAGCCATGAGATTTACTCCCTTACATCTGTGTGGAGTTTCTTGACAGCTGAGGCCATATGGAGCCAGAAAAAAGAGCTTACACTAACTGAGGATCCAACCTGGAATGTGACAACCGTACCCCACAGTGTGTGTGCGAGGGAGTGAAGCAGAGTGATGAAAACATTAGTTAATTCAAGCTGTACTATCCAGTTATATGAACGATAGATCAAATTGTCAAAGTGTAATGCTATGAATGTCTTCAAGGAGACACAGGCTTTACCAAAAGTGTCCCGCTGCACAGCGCTAAGCTTCAAACCATCTCCATCGCAATGACCCATGATACAAAATAACATGTGAAAAAAATCATGTGCATGTATCGCGCATCCTTTTTAATAAAAAACAATATCATTCCTGTTTTTATATTGCATAGTGTATTGTTACCTACATACGCTAATATTAGATATACGTTAAAGTCAGGGAAAAACTTAGCTCATTGCATAATTTTTCGATAACAATAATGATAGTTTAGCTTCGCTTAGCTTAGCTAGTTTACGTTAGCAAAAGTATAAGGTTTATACAGCAGCAAAAGGTATTTGCTGCTTAACGCAACCTAACTATGAGCTACAGTTCTATTGAAAAAGTCGTATTGCTTACCTTGGTGTTATTGGTGAATATCTTGTGGCTCAGGCTTTAGAAGCTAATGAATGCATGCTATATATGCCATATTTTGATAATCGATTCTGGCGTAGGCCTAGCCTACACCATTTCAGACGTCACTTATTTCTCCATATTTGGGGCCCAAAATGGTCTGACTAAGAAGATGAGTCCGAGCCTGGAGCTTTGGAGCTGGACCCTTCTCGGCTCTAACCCAGCATTCAATGCGACCACTTGGAACAGCTGTAAACACTTTGCCCTAAACTTGGTTTAAAGACACACTCTGTGATTGTGTCCATTCGAAGCATACTTAAACGCCCCGGCTATCGTGATGGTCAGGTGTTAAGTGTGAAGACATGTTTGTTACCCTGCCCCCAAATGTGTGTGCATGCCACTATCTACTATAGTAGTTGCTGTTGGCTGAAAAAAAGCATTCAGTTTAGTGAGAATATGTGACCGATTGACCCGGGGAGATTCCTCCATCACTGTAATGTGGTTGGAACAATATATGTGGGTGAGTGAGAGCGAAAGATAAACAAGAAGAAGAGAGGTCCGTCCACTTTGCACGGGGAGCGGAAGGGTGTGTGGAGATGAAAAGCAGGGACCATATTTAGACAGCTGATTCATAACGCAGGCATCCTCAGCTCTCCATGCTAACCTCCTCCTGCCTCCTCCTCCACAATCACCACCCTGTTCCTCCCTCTCCCTTGCTCCTCCACCCACCAGGATCATTCTCTCCACATCATGTCCTCCTCACCCCACCACGCCCTAAAGACCATCCCTTCTCCCTCACCCCTGCATTTTTCGATCTCTTCCCTCGTTTTCTTCTTTGTCCAAATCTATCAGATTGTCCTCTTGATGAATCATTCACAGATAAGCATGTTCAGATTGCCTTAGTATACGAGTGGTTATAG